AATGTTAACAGCTTTAAATTATAAATTACTTTCTTATAACTGAATAATGATGTCAAATGTAATGTAAATTATTTATTTGTTAACTTTTCTCACTTTGCAATAAACAAATTATAGTGAACATGCCTTGGATTGTATTATAACCAATAATTACACAAAATTTGGCAAGAAATATATGAAAGAAGGAATTCTCGTTTTGTTCTTGGTTAAGTATTTGATGTGGCTCGTTTGATGTTTCCAAAACTTTGAGCTAAGAATTGATTTTGACTTGCTGCACGAAGAATATTATATATATATAAGTATATAGATATGAACACCCTTATAAAAACATCTACATCGATTTCTGATTACGTAGATAGAAACCATATAATTTATTTTTAATACGCAAGCAAACATTGAATAATTGATGAATGGTTGAGTTCAATGTTCCTCCGCCACTAGTATTTTGGACGGGATTATTTATTAGTTTGTGAATGTGGCAGTAATCCGTTTTGGTTAAACGATAAAATTCAACACGCTTCTGTTGTCTGGAAAATATTTGATGGGTTTAATCAACTTTTTATATTTTGGACGCCAACAATGGCGCAAAATGGAAAATAGTTTTCATCGCACACACAAGCTAGTGAGTGGCCTTAACAAGACTGAAAATCGATAGCAAGTTGGCTTTTTTGTTTTTGTTACTATTGTTTGTCGTTTTTCTGGCTTGTTTGTGTTTGTGCTTATCGCGTAGAGTTCCGGGGGTTGTCTGCTAAAAGCAAATTAAAATGCATACAAATAAAAGGTATTTTAAAATGGCATTAGAGCGAAATAAAATGAAAATGCAAAGGTCAGGGATTACCAAGAACTGACAACCAAGGTTTCAATACACTGAATAATATTTATTGATTTGTTATTAGGCGTATGACTATCTAATAAAATTCACGCAAAAGTTCTATAAATCCGACACAAATTCTCAGGTATAACAATTCGGCTGGAAACAGCATATAGTCTCATTGGAAGTTATTAATGGAAAAGGCTGCATAATATTAGTGTAGGATAGTCTAATCCGATATATAATTAACCACTTTTATTTTAGTTTGAATCTTTTTTTTTAAACCTAAAACTACCACCACAACAGTCGATTAATCGATTTTTGTTAGTCTTTTCATCCATGATAAATATTTAAATTTAATTTACTTCATGCGAAATTTAAAACCCTTGTTTGTCAACCTGTTCCGCACATTTTGAACAAATATTTTGTACCCCTCCACCCAGAATTTTCAATTGGCCTGACCAACAGCCATCAAATTTTAATAGAATTTGTAATAAATTTGTAATGAAGAAACCCCCAAAACTAATTGCATTTCAGCTTGATTTTGTCGTAAGCCCTTAAGCTACAAGAGGGAGAAGATAATATATTAAGTATACGCAGCGTTTGCCAGTTGCAGTTACAATGCATGCAACTAAATTATGATGCCTTCCGTGTGAATAAACTATGTGAACTACAACTATTCCTATACAAAGGCAGCATCAACTAATTTTGGTCGTGGGAAAGTTACAGCAATTTCTCCATTCTCAACAAATTATTAAATTGACTGTGAGTTGCAAAACAAGCAAATAAAAAAGTTGCTACAATAAAATATGAAAAGTTTTCTGCCGCACATCAAGGCTACAAAGCGGCACTGGGCTCCGGATCTGCTCAGTCCAAACTAACTAGACAACTGACTGTTGTACTACATGATGTTTGGATTGTGTGGAAAGGGGGGCGAGGGTTGTGAAAACTGCCAGCACAGACAGATTAACTTTGACCAAAACAACTACGAGCGAAGGGACGGGCGGGGCTTGTGAAAATTTATGCGCACGTCCTGCGTCCTTCAACCCATCACCGTTCGCAGCGGAAGGCATAAAGGATATCAGTGTGAGGTCTTTGTGCGACGCGTAGCGGAAGGATGCACAAAATGAAAAGTATGAACTGATCTATCTGGTCAGCTTTTGCAGTTGTGTTGTGTTTTGGTCGCTCGTTGTGGTCGCTTCTCAATAATGACGCACAAACTTTTTTGCTGAAAAGTTTCTGCGGAACATCCCAGCTAGATGAGGAGCAGGGGTGGTAGGCAGGGCTGCAGGAAGCCCGAATGACATTTGCGACCCATGTACAACAAAGCTACAAGAGAAGAAGTGCCTTTTCGCCCAATTGGGAAGTGTTGTAGCAACGTTTAAAATAGATTGAGGTCAATAAATGACGAGGGGCGCAGTGCACTCAGAGAAAAGACAGAACTATTTAGACGCCGTTTAATATTTATTTGTTTCGCTTTTAATTTTTATATCAATATAGTGCGTGTATTGTGTTGATAGTGAAAATTAAGTTTAAAAATGAGCAGAAAAAAGAGACGAAATAAAACCAAGCTACTATCAGCTATGCCTGAGGTTTCTAACTATCTATGTAAGTCATGCTAGATAGCTAAAAAATAAGATTATGATTATACACTGTCTTTAAGAGATCTACTTAAAACTGAATCAGATCGCTCAAGGCCAAAGCGAACAAAAATTTAAAATGTTCAGCCAATTGTAAAGCCATCAGCACAATTTGTATGGTGGCGGCTTCAGATAAGGAGATGTGGGGTTTTATGGGACTATTAACAGATCCCTGCCTAATCATCACAAAAAAATTAATCCTAGATTGATATGGTTAAATGCATCTGGCCTGCTCTCTGTCTACTTCTAGTCAAAACAGTGGAAATACTTTACCTAAACAGACTCGGTTGGGATCAGTGGTTCCGATTGTGGATGTGTCTTTTCAAAAAACATGTTGACTTAAAGCAACAAAGCCTTACTTTCAAAATGCTTCGATTGTCCTTTTGTTCTCTCAGTGTACACATACTAACGTATGTACATTCATGTATGGGTGGAAGGAGGAAGCGTTACACGTACTAAGCATATCGTACCAATTTGTATATAGGTACTGGTTCTTGTTGCTCTTGGTATTAGCATTTGTGTTCTGTGCCTGTTATTTTTGTGCTTTATAGCCAGAGTCACGTAAAAATCTAATAAATGTATATTGAAGCACACACATGCTCGAATCCTGTGCCCTTAAATGTCTCCAATTCTCCGTCCACTCTATTCCTCTATTCTGTTTGCTGTGTCTGTTTTACCAAAAGCCACTGAACAGCGTTGAGTTCTACCACTTGGGCGTCTGTGGTTGAATTGTTGCTTTTGTTTTTCTTGCTTGGTGGTTCTTGGGTGAGTGTCAGTTTGTGGTTATGGGAAAGCGAAGCTGCAAAACAAATTGCCCCATAATGATTAGAAGTGAACGGCTTCGCATAAAATTTTAAAGGATTTCAATTTAAAAACTAGTTCTGAAATCTTTTGGCTCTAAACTCGATAAGCTGGCTTGCAGTCCTACGTTAATAAAACTATAGAATTCGAATCTTGTTGTTTTCTGAATATAAAACTGCTGTTGAACCTTTTCTATTGGTTTAAAATATCAAAATTAATTTTTTATGAGCGTGCCTAAAGCATATGAATATTTTATTCAAGAACCCCATTGTTCCTTTCTTGAATAACGCATATTAATCAATTATCTTGTGAAAGTTTGAGCGATTGAAAAAGTTTGTATCTAGTTTGCAAACAACAAATTGCAAAACTTTTGACCCCTACTAGTTTTTCTTAACAAAGAAAGCTGACTAATCTGAATAAATAATAAATGAGATAAGAAAGAATTACTATGTTGACAGACGGCAAATGATTTTATAAATCGCCATTCAACATAAACAAATTAAGCTTTTTATTCAATTATAAATCAATGAATTTGCTAAATCTTCTATATGTTCTGGCTTATCTTAAAAACACATCTGTGTTTTTGTTTTAAACGGACAAATGAAATATTGCGGTTTACTATTTCTGTGCAACTTTGCATGTGACTTTCTCCTATCCGTTTGAATGTCAAAAGCTAAACTCGAATTGTCCACACACAAAAAATATCAAATAGTTTTTTCATTTTCTTTCCTTGTTTCCTTTTTTTGAATTGCATGAAAATTGCATTTTGTGAACATTTTGTGCTTGCTATGTCCACAAACGACACCCACAGTGGCAGCAGAAACAACAAAAAGAAGGTTGCGTTTCAACATGCAAACACCAATAAAAAATACTCTGCCACTATGAGTGTGTGATGACATTTAGGCGATTGCTATAAGCCATATACAACATTATTTGTGTTGTTGTCGATTTCTAAACTTGGCACGCAGCTGTGCGCCCATATTGGTATGGCTTTATATATTTTTTTCGGTATTAGCACATCAACATCAATCACATGCAAGCCATTGTACATTTTCAACTAGGCGCTACTCAAATGGGCGGTGCTGTCAACAGTTTTGAAGTGTGGCCTCATGGTAGTATTGAGCAAAGTTAGTTTGGTATGTCAAATGGATTACTTTCTCGTAAAACTTATTTCCAAAGTCTGTAATATTCCTGTGTGATATTTAAAATTGATATTTCTTGAGAAAATGGTTTGAAAAAAATACATGTAAGATTTATTAGGTTTATAAATCGTTTAATAAAGTATATTGAGTATTTGACAAACAATAAGAATAGTATTATATAATAACATAAGACTTCAAAATATGTTTAGACGCCGACTTTCGCAACTTCTGACCAACTTTAGTGACTGCTGTACAACTTTACTACTGACGACTGAATGCCACGACTGCTGCTTACGACTGTTGAAAACCGACTATCCCACGACTTCTTCTTAATTACGCCTTCTACGCCTTCGCCTGATCGGGGGTGCCAACTGATGATAATGGCACATGGATGCCACTTTACATACATATTTTAATAAAATACTTTAAATATTAATTAATAACTTTCGACAACCTCTTTTCATTTTAATCGACTAAAACAGTTTTAATTTATTGTTCAACTGAATCAAAAGTACAAGAACTTGTTCTTTTCGTACACTTTTAATTGCGAACTAGTCAGTATAAGCCGAAAAGTATGCTACATTTCATTGTTTGTTTGCCTCTTTGCAGATGTCATAACATGGGCTGTGCCTGCGAAGCGGCCCGAGCAGAGCAGCGCAAGCCAAGAACAAAGCAAAAACCAAATCAATGCGATCCTACAACAAATGTAATAACAACAAACACAACCCCAACTACAACTACAAATACAAATACAGTTACAACAATAAAGGCGGCTGAGTGTTGTAACAGCAAATGTAAGCAGCGCTACGAGGGTATCAAAATCAAGGATAACTATCAACAAAATCATAAAACGCAAAGAATACAAACGACAACTACAAACCTAAAAGCGCCAACGCAAGCTCAAGTGCTTTTAACGTCGTCGCAGCAGCAGCAGCAACAACAGCCGCGCGTTGAAGTGGCGCACAAGGACGTGCAGGAGGCGTTGGCAACGCACGAAATAGCGACAATCGATACGTCGACGTCGACGTCAACGCCGTCGCTGCCTCTGACGCTGACGCTGCCGACGACAAAGTCACCAGCAAACAATTTGCAAATAACTTGTGCAAATTGCTACACAAACAGAGAGTTGAAAATAAAGCAGCCAACGTGCGACTGCAAAAAGGAGGCGGAGGGGGAGTGGGAGAGGGAGGGGGAGAAGGACGAAGAAGACAAAGTCTGTTCTTCACATGATGAGCGGCGAAAGCGGCATCGGATTCGTAATTGGAATCGGTCCGCCAGCACAACAGCCGCACGCAGCATGGCTGCCACAATGGCGGCCGCCAGCATCGGTGGTGGCTTCAGCAGCCTCCACGAGATGTTGCTGCATGCGCGAGCCACCCTAGCGGTGCAATTGTCGCAAGGTGAGGGCCTCAATGTTAATCTAAACTATCGCGAGTCAACGAAGCCGCAGCCGCAAAGGCAATCCCTAGAAGCCTATCAGCCGTGGCAGCTGCTGGGCACGCACAATGCCACAGAGACAGTTGCTGCTGCCGCCGCCGCTGCTGCTGCAGCCGCTGCCACGGTCACCGCCACAGCCACCGCCGTACCCGCCACCATGCCTGCCGCCATATTAGCCAATCTCAGCGCCACTGCTGCTGCCACCTCTGCTGCCGCTTATCAATACCTGGGCCAACATTACAAATATTATAGTCAGTCGTTCAGTTTCTATGCTGCCTCGAGTGTCATATTAATGCTCTGCTATCTGACCACCACATCTACGGCCGCTGCCACAAACTCGGAATCGGGTGCCATAGATAAGCATCCTATGTAAGTTCCCAGGCAGCAGAGAGACACAAGTATTTTCATTTTTTGTTTTCCACCGCACACCACTACACAAGGCACACATACACTCACACACACAGACTATACACTCCACTCTCTCCAAATCTCTCTGTATGTCGCGATCCATCTGTATCTCTATCTGTATTTATCTGTCTCTCTATCTTTGTCTCTGTGTATCGCCTGTACCAACTTTAATTGTATATTACACACGAATTCTCTATTTATTTTCTTTTGAAATTCTTTCAGTCATGGCATCGATTGGTCGAAGTAAGTTTTTGCACCCAAAAGACAAAAAGTATTTGAGGCACACTGCAAGCTTTTAATTTTTTTTTTTTTTTTTTTTTTTTTGTTCAATTTTTTGGTTTTGAAATTGTCTTTGAAATTGTTTGGTTTATCGCATAGAAATTCAATTTCAAGTTCGTCCTTACATACTGCATGCATTTATAAATTCTGCTCTAACAAATTGCATTTCACAAGTTTCTAATCTTTGGTTTCGTCTAATAATCCCCAATTGAGTTCACAACTTTGTGTTCGCCTCTACTAATATGCCGAATTAAAACTCTCCAGAAACTAACACAGAAGTAAACTACACACAGAATTGTACATAGCCATCAAACTATGATATTGCGCAAAAAAAATAAACTTACTAAAACATTTGAAATTACTTTAAAATGCGTCAATAGAGCCAATGCTTTGACATCTGTTGCTATATCTGCCATACATTTTACATTCTCCACAGATTCGACGAGTCCAGTTCGGATAAGGAAATTTTAGATTTATTACTGGAGAAGAAGCGCTATGATAAGCGACTACTGCCGCCTGTAAATGGTAAGAAACTTAAACAGAGGCTAGCTATTTGTTAAAACTTTAAAAATTCAATTTGCCTGAAAGTGTTAGAGGAGGCAACATTATAACAAACAACAGCAACAGCAAAAAAGAAAAAAATAAAAACGACAAATACAGCCATTATAAGAGCAGCAATGTACTTCCCCCCTTTTTTCGTCTTCGGCCATTACGAGACGTTTTCAGTGTTTCCTTACAAATGGCAGTTGAGACAACAAAGCGTTTAACGTCAACGCATGGCCACTATAAAATCAATTAAAGTTAATGGCTGTCCGCACCAGCAAGAACTGCCATTAAGTAAGAGCTGCTTTATGAAGCTGCAAAGTCAACAACGAAAATATAATGTAATTAATTTTCAAGTATCGATTGCAATAATGTGTTGAACTACATTTCCAACTTTTTCTTGGAGACCACATACCTAAGAAAAAATACAGTAATAAATAAGAAAATTGTTTTCAGGTCCTTCTCTCAAACGAAAACCCATGCACTAACGAAACTAATTTCAAATAAATTACACAATAAATGTAAAAGCTGCAAAAGCGAGGTTGAGTTTTCTAGTCATGTTACTGTTTGGGTTTCCTTTCGATGCGCTGGACCGATGAAAAATCAATCATAAAACTCAAAGTTGTATACATTTTAAAGCTTATACATCAGGAAAACCTTTGCTGATTGCAATTAGTTTTCTAAATTTTTTCAATTACATTTGTATCAGCTTAAAATTAATATTTTCATCGGTTTTTTTAAAGGAACAATTAAATCATCTCTATATTATTTAAAGTACATTGTTTTGAGCTAAAAATATTATAAACGCATGGATTTTTATAAGAGAAATTTAATATCGATAAAATTCGAAAATTGAAATGACTTTAAAATGTACTACGTTTATTTATTAAAAATTAACTTTCAAATTAGTGTTAGAGCAGGTATAATCCCAGAAAACGTACGGATCATAAAAGAATTAGATTATAAAACTACAAACGAATTGAAATAATTGAGTTGATAAAATACAACAAAATTAATATTAAGATAGAGTCTTTTTATCGTTTTCTTAATAGGCAGCTTATTTTGTTGCATATTTAATTATAATATTCCGGAATTTATTTGATAGCCATTTAAATTATTACAGTCAGCTAAGCTATTTGTTTAGACCACTTCTATTGCATTTTACAGATGAAGACTTTTGCTGTGGTTTACAATCGCCCGATATGGCTAAAAATCAAAATGTGCGGAGACCACACAATCGCGGTTGGTTATACATTGAAAAACTACAAGAAATTGAATTTCACATTTTTCTGCCCATAGTATATACATATGTATAATTGTTGTTAGTTATAGACATTTGTTTTTTCCCCCTTTTTTGAATTATCTTCGTTTTGTCTACGCTGTGTTTGAATATTCATTTCTGAATTTCTTAATTTCGTTGGTATTCTTTTCAATTATCCTTTCAATATTTCTTTGATTCGATTGGAAAGTTTGATGATCTAAATCATTTTTCGTCTCAACAGGCACCCTTACGGTCAACGTGAACGTGTTGCTTCTGAGCTTAGCATCGCCAGATGAGAGCAGTTTGGTAAATTAACTTTAAAATTCAACTTGCATTCTAATTGCTTACTAATCGGTATGCTTTGGTTTTTCAGAAATACGAGGTGGAGTTCCTGTTGAACCAACAGTGGAACGATCCACGGCTGCAGTACGGCAATAAGTCGCATTACGATTTCTTAAACGCTCTGCACCATCACGACAGCATCTGGACGCCGGATACTTATTTTATTATGCATGGTGATTTCAAGGATCCCATCATACCAATGCATTTCGCTTTAAGAATTTTTCGGAACGGGACCATTACGTACGCAATGAGGTGTGTATGGCGGCAAAGGTCCGACCCAACCATCCGTCGGTCGGCAACGGCGGCGTCGTGGATGATTTGAATATGAATGAATTTATATGCGTAGCGCCCTCCATTTGTACACCCGATTCTCTCATTCTTTCTATTTGCGCACGAGCCGAAGCTAAGCTGCTATAATGGCGCCAAAAATGCAAATGTAACACAAGTTCAAGCAATTCATTAGGGCAGCGGCTGGAGGAGCACACGGACTTGTCGTTGTTGTTGTTGTTTTTTGGGCGCTGAACAGAATTCTTAAATATTAATAAGGCAGCACTACTCGCGCACCAAATAAAAATAAAAAAATAAAAAGCAAAAGCAAAAACTATATCTGTATGTTCGCTGGCTGGCAAACACAAAAAAAATACCAGGCACTAGTAATGAAAAATAGCACGAGGCGAAAGTAATACAAGAATGTATGCAAATATTTGCTCAAGGTATACTACATATACTTGTATGCACATAGTACTATATACTGCTATATGCTCAGCCCAGTCGAGTTCAGCTCAGCTCAGCTCAGCTCTGGCTCACCAGCTCGTCAGCTCGCGTATGTTGTTTGTTCTAGCCGCTGCTCAGAGCAGCAGAAAATTCATGCCAGGCAACAATATGGCAGCTGCATTGTTGGCAGCATGTCCACAATGTCATATCCCAATGTGCCTTTTCCCCAGTTGGCTCTGCTTGTCTACTTGTCTGTATGTTTCTCTTTTTTAATTCAAGAGAACTTTTCCAATTGACTGCATAGCGCAAAAGTGTCGTCCAGCAATTAAAATAAGTTGTCGTTGCTTTTGCGTTCCCTTTTCTGCTTTCTGCTGTTTGTATGGCCAACGGCGACAATTGTCAGCAGCAACTAACTTGGCCCCAGTTTTGTCCAACAACAAAAATGTTAAATGTTAGAATATGTAAGATAAAATATGAAATGATGCAGAGCATGTTATTAAGTGGAAATATAGTGTACTATATGTTTCTAAATTGGCGTAGCAATTGAAAAATTATTGTTTTTCCTTCAATTAGAAGTCAATTAGAGGCTCGAACTTGGCTCGATTAATGTTGAAATTATGTAGATTTGATTTTTGACTCATAATTCTAGACTAACAATAAAAAGCAAATCTATCATAATGTTAGCTACGAGAACCGAATCAATATGGTTATGTCTCTCTGAGCTCAAAAACGAAACAAGTTTGGGAACCAGAAGTCACTTTTATGTGTTCTGGATATGATTGTTAAACAATCATGAATTCTTTTCAATGCATTCCTTACCATTTCCCAAATAAACATTGTGGCAAGATACAATTTATTGTTGAATAAATAGGGAGTTGTTAGCTTCTAATTTGGAAAACCTAAGGGGGTTATTGCATTAACTTTTGAAAGCCATTAGCGTTCTGTTCTAAATAATTTTAGAGGCCCTTCATGTGAAGTTTTTAACAAAAATAAATACCATAACAAACGAACTATAATTATTGAGAATCTTAAGTTGCATATGAAAAGAACGACCCAATCAAACACTCATAACATTTTAGAAAATTTCGTTTGCGTGGTGACACGATCATTCAGTCAGAAGAGTCCTTAAGATTTCAAATGCTAAATTCTATTTGCGTTTATTAACTGAATTAACTAAATATTCCAATAAATAGGATTACATTAAAAAGGCGTTGTTAATGTTCTCCTAGATATTACAACTTATTTAAAATCCAATTCTTTTGCTAATATGTGCAATACTTTTTGCCTATTTGCAGACGACACTTGATATTATCCTGTCAAGGCAGTCTACACATTTTTCCATTCGATGATCCAAAGTGCTCGTTTTCAATGGAAAGCAGTAAGTATTAAGAATCACAAAATAATTAAAGAAAGTCGAAATCGACAAGAAGTAGTGTCTACGTAGAATGGCAAAATGTGTAAATAATACGAAAAGTATGCTTAAGTGTTGAATTGGATGACGGGGCAAGAAATTGGAAAAGGACCCACTGCTGTTCCTGATGATGATGATGATGACAATGCTGATGATGGAGATGATGGAGATGATGGAGATGAAGATGTTTATGGAACGAGAATGACAACCAAAGGGGCGCGTCTGTGTCGACAGGCACTCGAGGGAAATCGTTGTGTCGCTGATTATGAGAGTGTATGACTATGTGCGTTGTGTGTGTGCGTGTGTGTGTGTGTGTGTCGGCACAACAATGAAAGTTGGCTGAATGAAAGCTGACAAAGTGACTAACAAGGCTGACTGACTGCCTTGTTTCATGTTTGCCAGCTAGGCTTTTGTCTTTGGCATTGTTTTCGAAAGTCGTTTCCGGCCCGTCTCAGCACGGTGCAAAATGGCGAACGTCATGTTTATTAACCCGGCCAACAACAGACAGCGCGGCAACAGAACGTGCACAACATCGTAAATTACTTTACGAGGAGGTAAAGCTGCCGCTTGATGACGTCGTTGAGATTTTCATCTATGACGCCAAAGCTGACGTTCGAGTGTTTGCCGTTTTCCGTTTTCCGTTTGCTGCTTGTCAGGGCTTGTTTGTCAAATATGATTTAATTTACTTTCTCCAAAGCCTTTTGCACGTATTTACAATGTAATCTCGAACAAATATGGCATGCTGACAGATCAGGCCATATACCATATATACTCGAACAGTGTCTTCTACCCATTCCCTTCATTAACTCTAATATAATTAATTAACGACAAGAATTGACTTATGTGGTGCGCACGGATAGGATTGGCAGGGGCTCAAGTGATTTATGGGTGTCTCTGAGCTTGCCGCGGCAAAGTCACGAGCCTTGATGTGCTGATAAAGTAGGTTAAGTAGCAGGATTGGGAGAACGTGCGTGTTGAATTTCAGTCAAATAATCAGGCTATTACGAGGGAATTGGTATATTGAAGCAAGCAAGGAAATACGAAGAATTTACCAATTGCACGAACTGGAATTAGAATTGAAAATTAAAGCGGGCACCTAAACTTGGAGATTGTTGCCTTCATCTTTCTTGATGTACAATTTGTGAAGGCTTATCAGAATTTTATTCCCAACCTTAGTGGAGTGTCCTTACTAATTGAATAACCAATGATTTTACAGAGTTTAATATCGATTTGATAGATATTATTGGAACAAACTCTTTGAAACATTCATTCTTAAAAGCAGTGTTAATGATAACGATGATTGAACTATTTCCGAATCTTTTGAGTGCCGGCTAAGAGTGAAGTGTGATTATCCTATTTCTAGGCTCTGCAGAACAGCCATCATGCGTTTAAAGGAGGCGATTAGGAAACATTAAATTCTTTTTGTTCAGTTCAGTGATTTTGGACAGACTTGACGAAATGCGGCGGAAGCTCTACATATAGTATATACTTACTTCCACATATTTCTTCCCATTGACAGTCCATATTTGTCGATTTAATATACGAGTATAATTAGTATATAGTGTAATAAGCTAACATTATAGAACGTATTTCTCTCATAAGTCAATTAACTTAACTTCCGACAGTATCCTACGAGGAGGCGCAAATCAAATATGTTTGGAAAAATGACGAGGACACTCTTCGAAAAAGTCCCTCACTGACCACATTGAACGCCTATTTGATTAAAAATCAAACAACGGCCTGTGATCAAAACAGCTGGAGAGGTGAGTCATAATCTATGCATTCATATATTCAGCTATATTAATATATACAAGTATATCTACTTATATGCCCATTGAATTTGCTTTCGTTTTTGAATTAATCAAATTAGCAAAGTTAAAATGCAGCTCTATATGCATTCTTTAAGTATGAACATTATTTAGGCTTGGCTTTTAAGTATGTACTTAAATTTTATTTTCCTTGCAGTAGCTAGAGATTATGAGCTATTTGTAGTCGCTGGCTAATGCTTGCAACAATCCTTTAGTACCCATAACCATATTCGTACACTCAAGTATATACAATACCTCTATCTAATGGTCTAAAATTTGTCTTTTATGCCAACCTGTGCTCCCAAACGACACGCTACGACAACAACCAACAACTTGGCAATTCCCTCGATTTTGTGTACACTCGTAAATGCCCAATAGGGAACTACAGCTGTCTTAGGGTCGATTTAATCTTTACCAGAGATCGTGCATTCTATTTCACCACCGTTTTTATACCTGGCATTATATTGGTGACGTCATCCTTTATTACATTCTGGCTAGAATGGAATGCCGTGCCAGCTAGATCTATGATAGGTAACAACACCAAAACAACAACAGCAACAGCTAATAATCTCTCTCTCTCTATATAAGTAAACCAAATCCCGCTCTGTTTCACCAAAACAAAAAAAAAAGAATACAAAAAAAATACTACAACAATTACAACAACATCAGCAAAAAACCAAACAGCTTCAAACAATAAACCATACTATAATACTTTACAAAAATATTTAATCCACGACACCTAAATCAATTGATATGCCATTGAAATTGATATTTTTCGCCTATGTAGCATTTGGCTTAATTTTTGATTGATTGCTCTAGATTTGTAAATCTTATGTTTTTGACTGTACTACCATTTCATTTTGGCCAAGTAGCTTGCATTGTTTCCCATACGAAACGCAATGCCTGACAACCTAAATATTTTATTACAAGCAACAAGAAATCAAAAATATACCACACTGCCTATCGAAAGAACCTTAGTCGTTTAAAGAGTTTAAATTTTACATAATTTCGTTTTTATCGTACCTCGCTAAGGTTTGCTGCATGGGTTCATATCTTATGCCACAAATAAAGAACCAGCCCACCAATGAAAACCTCCCATCCACCGAGTCGTCAAATACCCCCGAATACCACCACTTTAGTCCACTTATTTTTATATTTCCCGTTTTTTTTTTTCTTTATTGACTTCTCTGCTAATTACAGTCCCGTCAGAACATCTGAAATAGGTTTTGTATAGTCTATAGCTATAGGCGCTAGGATATACTACAATACTTATATATTTATATTCATGTGTCATCTGTCCAAACAATGTGCCGCGTCCCCATGTTTAGATTTATAGAGCTCTTGTATCTGAAATTTGCTTAACCTGTGGCCAAAATTCGATTTTGGCTCTGTACTTTAAGGTAATTACAGTTGCCTACAGGTCGAGTTGACATTTACCCGTGATCGTGCGTATTATTTCACAACCGTTTTCATACCTGGCATTATATTGGTGACCTCCTCGTTTATCACATTCTGGCTGGAATGGAACGCAGTGCCAGCCAGAGTTATGATCGGTACGTAAAAGTAACAAAGAAACAAATACAAAACAACAACAAAAATTAAGAAATATAAAAACAATCAACAATATTTTGGACAGAATGCAAATAACATTATATCTTTACGAAACATATCGCAGTCTTCCAAATACTACAATTCTCAAAACATAGCTATTAGTTTAAGGTAGCGAGCTCCAAGGCTCAAAGTCTTACCCAGCACGGTTAGCCAAAATCAAAATATATTTCTAAATAGGCCAAATTCTAAGCTATCCATTTATAAAAACGATCCAGCATAATCAAACAAAATAGTTACTTAGATACAGCTCAGGACTTTAGTCATCGACATATATATCTTCTCATTAACAGTACAGCTAGATGCTAGTTCTACTATAAATGAATAAAATACATACCACTTAACCCTTTTCATTTAAATTGTTCAATATTACTGCCAATATATACTTAGCTTCATTTAATCCCATCTCTGTAGCCTCTTTGCACTTTTTAAATACCTAAGCTCTATTCAGACTTTGCATTGCATGACTTTTCTTAAACCTTACTTTAACTTTAGATAAACACACATCTCTTTTACTTCCGCTTTCTCGTATTAACTTACAATATTTAACTAAGTCTAGCTTAATGACTAGACGACGTACATAACATGTTTTTATTATATATTTATCGATGTAACTGAGGTACAAAGTGACAAAATTCCATATTCCAGAGGGCTATGTTTTTTGTTAGTTGCATCGAACATATTTATTTTAATAGTTGATTAATTATTTAAAGATGATTATTTTTTTAAAAAACCCCTCCTAAACATGACACTGAAAAGTTAACCCAAAAAATATGATATTCTTAGCTTCAATTGTGTTTCAATTCATCTCAACAACCACTTGCCATAAATTAGAAATTAGAAATATTTGAGAATTCTGTTAGACATACTTTCAGTTTTGAAAATATTACAAAACATAGAAGTAAGAATACAAAAAAATAAATGTATTAAATTCTTGATACCAAAATGGAACTTGAAATATTATTTATTGGCGAGTTTATCGTTCATTTCAAATTTTAATACTTTTCTTTGCGATTTTCAAACACGAAAAGTAGAAGAAAGAAGCTATATAATAAAATATTAACTATATTGTAAATTTATGGCTTCTTTCAGACGAATTTAAAAAAGAAAAAAACATAATATTTTTAAACAACAGGGACGATTATTGATAAACAAAAGCAACTTCTGTGATTTAGTATGTATTTGAACTCTCTAGATTTCTGTGGGGTTAGGAGGAACTTGCTAAGAATTCGTCAACCCCTTCTGCACAACCACAAATACAATTTAGCACACCTACATAAAAGGGTGGGGTGGGGGATTGCAGAAGTAAGTAATGCAATTATTATGTGCTGTCGCCAGCCAGGACTTGAGAGCTGAGCTGAGCTGAGCCGAATACAAAAAGGAAATGGAGGAAAGGAAACGAAACGAAAACCGAGCGACAAGCGAATGTCAACCGAAACATCAAACGTCACCATCACATTCACAGGCTCTGTCAAGGAAGGACGAGACCTGGACATGCCTCTGGCCTAGTATTTGCTTTTGGTTATGTTACATTTTGGGCTGGCAATGGCGATGGCGATGGCGATGTCGTTGGTGATGATGACGTTGACTTGATGCTGTCGGTTTTGGTCGGGCTCTGAGCATGGCCCAATGCATATCATACATGATGATTTATGCATAAGGCATATGGACAACGTGTACTTAGTAAATAGCACACGACATGTTGAGCCATACGTTGTGCGAAATGCAAACGCTACCTGTAAGTGGAGAGGCAGCAAGAGAGAAGTGGGGATGTGGTTGCTTAGGAATTTTTGAAGACCTATTCAGGCATGCCAAGAGCTTAGCTGTGACTTTAAGTTGCGGCAGAAATCGCAGGAAAATTGCCGACATGTCTACACGTTTCACTGCACTTAAGACAATTAACGCGCTCGGCAGAGCAGCGAAATGGCGACAGCATTAGGAACAAATCCAATTTATCAGCGGCAGCTGCCATTGTCAATTTGCAGGCAGCCTCGGCATGCAAATGCAAACTCAATCAAATGGCATGTCATGGGAAAAGCCGTTAAATAAATAAAGAACTAAAGCATCGCCATTTTGCTGTGCAATAGAAAGTGGCCGACTGCACAATCCTTTGATTTTCCTCAGCACCACACTGGGGAACATCATCGCCTGGGTCCTTGTCGCTCTGTCATGTCGAAATGTGCAACGCACACCAAACGCACATCTTCTTGCCTCATTTGTGCTGCTTAGGGGGAAGTGCGAGTGGCTGTGGGAGCTTAGGATCTCCATGCCATTCCATTTCCATATCAATGTTAAGTGCAACGTTGAGATTTTGGGTTGTTTGGCGAGCCAAATTGAAAATCGATAAGAACAGGGTATATAGCACTTATAGAAGGAGCAGTAGAAGCAGCATGGAAAGGGAGGGGTTGGGGTTGGGGTTGGTTGCTGTTGCTCATAGAATGCTGCTAAATTAGTTAAATTTGTTGCCGCAATCAGCTTGCGAATTGTTGACGGCTCTAATTGGGCAACCAAGATTGATTATCTTCAGCTGAAAATTGCATTTGTTGACCGGATGCGAACGAAATAATGAACATTAATGGAACGAATTAGAAATGAATTGCTTTCGCATGTGAGAGCAGCACGGAAGTGTTCAGAGTTTGAGTTTGAGTGTAAATTGAATGTTTTCTTGGACAACACTAAACTAATCAATCAAACGAAATCTAAAAATCTAGCTGCTGTTTATCAATTCATTTGTGCAAAGACAGGTGTTCCATTAAAATATAAAATCAGTATAACCAAGAATAGATTTTGATTACAAACCAAATGTTTGTTGGCAAAGCTCTTGACTTATCAATCGCAGGATATCGAATTGTCTAGCTTTCATAAATTTATTTAAATTATTTATGTTTATAAATTTATTGCATTAAAATATAAAATCAGTATAAAAATGAATACATTTTGATTACAAACCGAACCTTTGCTGGCATAACTCTCAACTAATCAAGCGCAGATTATATATTTTTTTAGCTATCACTATGATATGAAAATTATATTAAAAAGAATGAATTAAGAAGTTAATCAACTCTGTTATACTTGTACAATCAAAGCTATGGCACATACATAACAAATTTGAATATGTGCATTATTTTTAGGATAAGACTTAAATTAAAAGTATTCTGATTGCATAAAAGTCAAAAGAGATTTGTGATTTGATTAGAAGTCGAATATTTGGTTGGACATTTCATTGCCTTATAAGGGACAAAACTCCCATAGAAAATAAAAAAGAAAAGCTTTTCGAATGTAGAAGGAACATATTGAAAGCTAATACTTGGTTTTAATAGCCAATCGAATCTTAAAACATCTTAGACAAATTTTAAAAGCTGTGATATCTAAATACAAAACCACCAAATACTTTGTTGGGATGGCTCAAAGGATGACTTTAATTCAAATATGTATATATAATTCATAGCCTTAGCCATACGAATAGCTAGATGAAGATATCTTATACGTCAACTTAAAAGTTGTATAAACGAATAAAAGACAATACATTGGGAAAAGCATTCATTTGAAATACGATTGTTTATTTGAAGAGAACTATTTTAATTGTTATTTTCTTTTTCTATGAGTGTGCATTACCTCTGTCTTTGTTATACTTGTATTAAAGCGTTGTTCGCCTTTTAACTAACAATTTCTATCGTCACTCCTAGAACATTAATTTAAGTTTAATGCAAATAATTTCTAGAATTTTGTATTGCACTTCACAGCTGAGACCATTTTAGCCCAAAGAGTTTAAAAAGCTGACAATGAAAAACTTCAATTACAACTTTTGTACATATACCAAAAACTAATTACAAACTAAAACACAACTTAAATAAACTGAATGCCAAACCCAAAAAAAAACACACACACAGTTAACCCATTTAACCCATTTAACCCGATCTCTCCATTTAACATACCATTCACCATTTACCGTCCCAGTTATCCAGTATGCAATGCTGTATATGCTGTATAATTAAGTGTCAAGGCGCTAATGCAACTTTCTCTTTCACCAACCAAGGCGTGACAACAATGTTGAATTTCTTCACTACCTCGAACGGTTTCCGCAGCACGTTGCCCGTCGTCTCCAATCTGACGGCCATGAATGTGTGGGACGGTGTCTGCATGTGCTTCATATATGCCTCGCTTCTGGAGTTCGTATGCGTCAATTATGTGGGCCGAAAGCGTCCGCTGCACAATGTGGTCTATCGTCCCGGTGAAAATCCCGTAACACAGGTAAATGAATTGCATAACAATATTAAGTGTGAAGCGCATTGCGAAATAAGAATTGAGAAATATGGCGCCATCATTGTTATACATTCAATATATGCGTGCTGGCTGCCAAGTGTCAAATGGCAAGTGTCAAGTGGCAAGTGCCGAAAACCAAGGGCCCGACTGCCTGATTTATTATGCATTTCAAGCAATTAAATATGAATTTTACATAAACCGTACAGCCAACCAAACGACCAACAAACACAACACACACCCAAACACTCTCTGCATTGTTTATGTTTTTTGATTTCGTCTTTTGTTTCAATTATTTAAATATGTTGTTGTACACGAAAAGACAATGTGAGCAAGTCATACAATAAAAATTCATATCGAAACTCCAGTCGAAAATCAGAACAATTACAAACAGTCCAATTACTTTCATTGTGCTGCGTCTCTTACTATCTATGTATCTCTATCTCTTTCTCCTTTACTCTAAATCTATCTGTCTGTAATGCTACTCCCCTTACCATCTCCCCAGTATTGTCTGTTTCCATCTAGTTTATATTTTTCCGACATTTTCCGTTCAACCACAAACATTTTATGTTATTTGTAATAGAGGGTTTCCCTCCTCCCCCACCCCCTCCACCAAAAATACGCCCACAAAATGCTCGACCTAATACTCACTACATGTTAATTCCCAAGTGAACTGCCCCTAGCATTTTCTATATCTATATAAATGTAAAACTTGTGTGTCCTGCTATATTTGAATTTAAAAAAAATTTGTTTTTTTTTTCTGATTTAATTTACATTTTGTTTTGAAAGCGAGCCAAAAAAAAGGAATTATTATAAAAATTGTGCACTGCTCAGTTGTTTTATTTTTTGGTTTATAAACAAGCAAAAATGTTTGCATTTTAATTGACAAAATGACAAAATGAATTTAATATTGACGCTGAAAACCACTGAAAAGCAACACCTCAAACACCGAATGTGTGTTGTTTGTTTTTGTGTTTTTTTTTTATCATTTCCAACGTCCTATGTCCTGATTTACATTTTATTATAAATGTTGTATTATACAAGAACGAAAAGAGAAGCAAATTGAATTTTCCTTTCTTAATTAGTACACTAATATATGCTGTTAGTATTTAATTGAAGCATTTGAAGTGACATGGGTAGGTATGTGCTTAATTTGTTTTCGTTTTTCTGATCGAAATATATAAGTATGTATGTATGTATGTATAACAAATAGTATTTTGTTTTTGTATAGGTCTCTCCCGACTACTACTGATTGGTTTGAGTGCATGTTCAGATTGTAATTAATGTCGAATGCCATGAGTACCTCAAAAAGGGAATATTAACCAAACATGTGTCTATGCAAGTGGCATGCAGCGTTAAATGGGAAAGCAGAAGCTGAAGCCTGAACCTTTATATTATATTAATAAATAGCATATACATATATTGGTTAGAGAGCCAACTGACTGTTCCCATTCTGCGTACTTCACGTCACTTTATACATTAACCCTGCCAGTTACACAACTTGCCATTTTATTTTCCAATTTTTGTTTGTGTTCCTTTCTTTGATTGAGAGCCATTGAAAAGTGTTTACAGAAACAACAAATTTCCAAGCAGAGTGCGTAATGCAAAGAAAATCGAACATTGTTCCCAATTTTTGTGATAATCGAGAACTGTTTTCAAAAATTTAATTTCTTACAACAATACTTAGCTACTAAGTGCGCATAAGTACAAATCGAATCAAAAGCAATCAAAACCAAACCCAAGAAACCACAAAAAAAAAACAAAAAAAAACAATCAATTAATACCAAAAACAAAAAATACCAAAAACTTAAAGTGTGTTTTGAGTATGAACATTATTTTGTGTACATTTTTGCAGCGTCTTCCAGCGGTACTAAGCAGGATCGGAGTAATTCTTGCAAGTCCTTTGGTAAGCTATCAACCACTCATGCACCCCCCCCAAAACAAAAACAAAAACAAACAATTAACAACAGCAACTACAACAACTACTACTAATACTACTACAGCCAATTAAATAGCAGCAAATAAAAGCTAACAACTACAAACACAACACGCTAACCCAGTCCCGCCCCAGCCCCAGCCCCAGCCCCCGACCAAGACCCCGACCTCGCCCTCGCCTTAGCCTTCGTCACCCTCTGATACAGCAAATAAAAGATCTGAGAGAAACAAGACAACTGTTCAAATGGCATGTGAATTTCGCTTTTAAAACTGCATTGAGAATAACTTTTTTGGTTTTGATTTTGTTAACAACATTATTTCATTTGATTATGATCTGAACTAACTACTAATCAAATCAAATCAAATCGAATCAATTCAATTCAAGTTAAATAACAGTAGACGCACGCTTTCAGTGTATATTTAATTTCATATTTAATAATATTTCTTTCGATTGATTGTCAAACGACTAGTTTCATTTGTTTGTTTACCATTTTGCCTTCTTTGTTATTAATCTTAATATTATTGTACCATTACGAGTTCGTAATGCAATTAAACACCCAGCCCGAAAAAACGTTTAAAAATTAAATGAAAACATCCATAACAACAACAAATAACAACAACTGCAGCCGCAGCCGCAGCATCAGCAGCAGGAGCTACAAAAAAATATGCATAATTGAAATGCGCATTTTGAAATGCAATCAATTGTATTTTTTATTAACTACACACAACAATAAATGCAACAACAAACGAACATACAATTGAAAATATTATGAATTGCGTTGAAAACCAAATACAAAAAAAATACAAGTAATAAAAAGAAAAACACACTTTAAGGTCACTTACAATTGGGAAAAATGTTACGTGTTTCTCTCTCTCTCTCTCTAATGATAGCAAAAAAACAAAAAAAATGTGGAACCCATTTTGTTTCGTTTTGATTTACCAATATACTACCAATAACAATAAATCAAATTTTATTACTATACTTAACATGAACATTTTATTTTATTTTTCAAATAGCAATTTCTGCCTTAATGCCTAGCAAGCAAAATAAATTCATAATTTACCTTCTTTTTTTAGTTCAGTATAATTTTATATGTACTTTTTATTTTCATAACAACTCACACGCCCACTTAGAGCTGCGCCATTTACAGCGATAACTAACAATGCTTTGGTTTGGTTTATAAAAAAAAAAAACTATATACTGTACTCGCATATATATAGAAAATGTGTCTAAAATATTTTATGATTTTTTTTAGTGCTAACCAAAATGTAGCTTAGTTTAGTTTTTTGCATTGCCATTTGCTTGAAAGCTTTTTGCTTAGGTGCCTTGCGTATGAGTAATGATTTATAGATAATGTTGATATAGCATACTCGTATAGTGCGCATCGTGCCATGGCTTTTATTGGAGTGTTTGTGTTCGATATGTCCCATACAGGGAGGCAAATGCTTCTATGTACTCATATAGTAGATATATATTTAATTACTGGCGCATAAAATGAATATAAAAAAAAAGTTCGAAATTGCAGCTACAAATTGCTGCCGAGTTCAAGCCTGTTGCGGAATGAGAAACTGATCAAATATACTACCTAACCTATAATTTATTATTATAGTTAAGCATTAAGGCCTTATAGTAATACAATTAACAAACATTTGCCATCTTTTGAATGGTAATAAAGCAGCAAACATTGAGAGTAAAAGAGGGTATATGTTGAAATTTGAGATTTTGCTCCCGAATATAAACAATTCCATATCGGTGTATACTCTCACAAACAATAAATCAATCAACATAATTAATTGAAACAACCTTTTTGAGTTGGGCAGATCATTTTATGTAGTTATGATTAATAATTGCTGACCATTGAGCACTTTGTTTCAAATATGTGCCGGCTTTATTAGTCTTGTTTTAGAAAATACAGCCAAGCTATAATAAAATCAGCGTTTATGTATTTTAAGCATTCCTAGCCATACCGTTTTTTATTTTTTTATTGTGTATCTAATGTGTTAGGGAGAAGAGATTGTACGACATATGTAGTATGTACTAGAACAGATATTAGTTCTCTTTTCATTTCTGGACAAGAAGCTAATGATCTTATTAAATTCGCATTTAGTTTAGCATTTCACAGAATACTTATAAACTAGTCGATTAAGCTATTAAACTAAGTAGTTAAGGAAACAAAAAAGATAGTATAGCTCTCAACATTTTTTGGTTTGCAACTGCTTACCCATTACTTGACAAATGAATGTACTTAAGCAGAAATTATCAATTCAGCTAATGCTCTACGAGTATATAGTGGAATAGAGAAAATACTAAAAGCAGCCATCAATCTACTAAAAGCCTCAATCCAATCAACTGCGCGTACCTAACTAACCAAGCGTAGAGTACTTAAACTCTTCATAACTCAATACTCCTTTCAACGTTATCTATACGTGCGCATCATGTATATGTATATGCATACAAGTATGTCTGTGTAAACCATCATTCTCGTTTCCAATCACCACCAACCAAAACCGAATGAAGCACGAAACTAAAGTACACACACATACATACTCACATCCATATAGGAAATAATCGAACGAGAATTTCATGCTGCTTTGTACTCCGAAAAGGCAAGCGCCGGCGCTAGCCCAACCCTGGCCACCCCGCTCTCTGGGGTCACAGCCGCATCCACAGCGACGCCCAGCACTCCGCGGCTCATCAGCGACGAGCAGGGAGGGATGCGTTGGCAGGAAGCGCATGGCGGCATCATTGGGGCAGCAGTGCAAAATTTGCGGGCTCGTTCAATTAAACGCAAAAGTGCCGCCGCGGCGGCCACTGTGGCAACAACAATCTCCAAGCCAAGTGCCGAGCATGTCTATGCGGAGCCTGCAGAATTGATGCCAAGTGCCACCACGGCCACGCGTGTCAAATTCAAGGATGAACAACAACAGCAGCAGCAGCAGCAGCAACAAGAGGAAAGGCCAGCGCCAGAGCAGGAGGCAGAGGCAGGAGCGGGAGCGGGAGTAGAAGCGGAGGGGCAGCTCGGACTGCGTCGTTCGGTGGCCACCAGCACGCCAGCTTTGGTTCTGCGCATTGAGCGCGAACAACTGAAGCAGGATATGGAAATGAGTGAAGGACATTTGTTGCAATTGCCATCGAAGCCGCCCCGCAAGAAATCATCGCGCTCCAATTCGCCGGCAAGTGTTTATGGTGAGTGCGAAGCAATGGAGCACCTACAAGGACAACAGACGATAAAACCTCCAGAAGCAGCTACGAAGTTCGAGGCAATGGAAAGCGTAAGTGATGCCAATGCCCGCAAGTTCCTGCAACCGATTGACTAACCCAAGCTGTTTATTGTTGTTGCCGTTGCCTGCGACTAATAACTAACCATAACAATTCCAAATGCAAAAGAAAACTTTACCAACGTCTCAAGCAACAACCCGCCATGAAAGCAGCGTGCACGAAATTTCTGTTCCCCATTTGGTTTACGCCGCAGCCAAACGATTTTCGTTCCCCAAACTTTATCGCTTGCGGTTCTTTTGATTGCAATTTGCCACAGCAAACTTTTCTCTCGCACAAAGCCAACCTACTTACAATTGAACTTTAAATGAAAGACCAACAATGGGTAATAGAGACTGCATTACGAAGAAGACTGCCAAAGAGGCCTATTGTAGGGCAAATGCTTTTCCTTTTTTGTTTGCCACAAAGCAGCTGGGAGAGTAATGGCCTCAATGGCAGAGGCACTTAAAAGCTCCAACATGGTTTTTCTCAAAGCTCAAAATTCGAAAATCATTTTCCGACATTGATCGGTTCTTATACTCTAGGTATAGAGTATAAAAGTACAAGAGTATATTGGGTTTGCGGGAAGTTAAAAATGTAACAGATCCCGCGAAGTGTATTTATTCTTAATCAGCACAAGAAGACGATTTGATCTAGCCCTGTCTGTCTGTCCGTACGAACAACTTATATCAGAGATTAGCTCTTATAGAGACAAGAAACTTGTGAATTTAAGAATTTTCCTCGTTCCCCCCACTTAGCGACTTTCCATAACTCCCATAAGTCTTGGAAGTTTTCAATCAAATTTGGCAAATACCTCCAGTTTATGATTATGTGGGATGTAAGGATTTTTCATTTAGGAACGAAGTTATAGCCATAAATGTTATCTCTCCCCATGCTCTGCCCATAGCTGTTGCTGTAGTTGCTGCTTTGACTCAACTCTATACTGCGCACATGCTTACACACAGACACGCATAGACATACTATAGGTACAGAGTATTCCGAGGTACCCGACTTTAGCTTTTCCACTTGTTGGAAAATTAAGTTGGGTTTTATTTGCTGACAAAAGCAAATAAACAAATAAAAGTGGAACCGTGTAAATTTGTTTTGTTTCAGTTGGCAAACACATTTGTTGTTTCTGAATTTCAGGGCGTACTCAAATTTAATTCTTACATCTAATTATAATAATGGACAATACTTTAAAGAAACTGGACTGTTCTGTAAGCGCATAGTAGGTTCGACTCAATTGTCCTAGGAGTTCTATTTTAAATAAATGAAGTATTTAAATATTTAAGGTATTATCGCCCAGAGTGGTTAATTTTTATTACGCAGTTTTTAGAATGGGATATATACTTGTATATGTAATAATTCTAAAATGCCATAAATTTCAGGACACTCATTCCTAAAGAATTAATAACCAGAACGAATTTTGGCGATCCTTATATATATGTATTTTGTGCTTAAATTTAAGAGCAAATATTATTGAAGCGATGCCAAATCAGAGTTTAGGCGTCAATAAGGCTTTTGGAGCGCACATGTAACCAACAACATAACTGCCGTGATGGATGTTGACTCCCCTCTGAATGGGAAATGTTGCTGAGATGCAGCAATCTACATACTTTTATGTAAACAACTTCCAACGACATTCAGAAACAACAACAGCAGCAGTAGCATTAACAACGAGAAGTAAGGTGCCTGGAAAATGTTTGCCGCAATTAACATGTAAATTAAAAATGGCGCACGCCTGGCGCCCGAGGCAAAGAGACCGGAGGATGCAGGACCGAGTACCGACAGGCAGCACAGTCACATAATTATTCATGAGTGCCAAAGTGGAAAATACAGTAATGAGCCGCGTGTTGCCGCGACAACAACAACGGCAATATGAAATACAAACAAATGAGCGGCTGAATGATGACTGACCATGTTCGAATGCCCAAAGGATGCGCAGGATTTAAAGAAAGTTTAAGCGTGTTGCAGTACGAACTTATCGCGTATGTTTTAATCTTTAGAGAAAATGAACAGTTGTAGGGTTAAGGTAGTATCCCAAATGTTGGTTAAAAATACTTAAGCATCAGCTAAAACAGCCAAAAGCTATACCCAGGGGGTCGATTGGGGGTGCGAAACGAAAATAAACCACACACTCTTATCTGCGAGAGAACAAATTAGGTCAGCTGAATAATGCAGTCGAGCGCATTGTGCAGTTATTTTGCCAGGTATTTTGCTGGCTACTTAAACATGCACACACACACACACACAAAGACACACACATACACATGCAACTTACTCACGTGCACCTGTATGTGTGTAGCAAATGGCCGCTGGCTAAGCGCAAACAAAAGACAAGTCGGAACACCGCCCTTCGCCTGTCCACGTGCGGCGGCAGATACCGAAAGAAAGACAGAGAATATGTTCTGGTCTTTCTATTTGCTAGCCCCATTTATAATCATGTTCCTGGAGTTTCCGTGCATCCGTGCGCTGCAATTGCAATAAATTGTAGCATACTTTTGGGCGCACAGTTACCTTTGAAACAGACACCTATGAACCATTTGGCTATTTATTAAATTTTCAGTTGATTATGCGCACAGTAAAGTGAAGTATATTAATGGTAGTTGCACGCTGCATAATGTGCGTTTAATTAGTCTGTGTATTATGATACAATTAGCTGCAAAGCAACCCAGTATCCCACCTACTCTTTTGCACCTTCCATTCGTAATCTCATTTTCATATCAAATAGAAAAGTGTCGTCCGTATGTGTGTGTGCAATTTATGTTTATTTTTGTGCTTTTCCAACCACAAACCACGACCTAAGCTACGTTCTTGAATAGCCCGTGGAAATTAAATAACATTTTTAGACGCTGGCTTTTCGTCACATTTACTGCAAGAGGGAAATTGTTTTAAGTGCATGCAATTCAAACAAAAAAGAATTCTAAATAATGTGCCAAGAGTTTTAAGTATTGTAATATTCTTATAAAGAATAGATTCAATTCGAGTTCAAATCGCGTCTCAAATTGTCTTTCATAGGCAGTCTTATATGAGCTCAAATATTTGTTGTATTATATTATATTTTAAATACTACGTAGCTTTCTTTAAAAATTATTAAAGTGTTAAGCAAATTTAATTGCGGAACAAAAACATGTTCCATTAGTTGAAATGCAAAACAATTATTAATACATGAAATACAAAACCACTATACACTATTAATCGTTCTGTTCAGTTTATGTTTGTTACTTTTATTATACCATAAAGTTGTATTTAAATTAATGTTACCAACAAGTTCTATGCTCCTTTTTGTGCTGTTCACCTGGCTTCCAACCACATTCAACAAACTCAGAACATTTTGTAAGCATCTGTAACCATTAAAATTCCATAAACTAACACACACAGCAAAATTCTCATGCCATTATTCTCACTTCAGTCAGTCAAAAAGCTATACAAACTGCCAAAGCTAAATAACTATACAAAACATATTTTTTAAATAAAAAATAATCATACAAAAAGACATTGAACGTGCGAGAAGAGGAGTTGAAAAAAATTAAATAGTAAAACAATTAAATTTTATTAGTTTTGCATTGTTTATCGTATAAACCAATACATGCACAATTAAATCTAAATAATCCTACCAATTTCTCTTAAATGCTGCCCAAATATTTATGAACATAATAAAAATAATGCGTTGCATTTTGTATGTGTGGCACAGCCCGTAAGTATATTGCTGATACTGTGCTCATTTGTGGCAATTTATTTTTATAAACAATTCTGCACACATGTACATACATTTCGTTGTAGTTTAATGTTTAACAAAAGTGCAAGAATGCTAAAAGTTATACATGTAATGTGCGTGTTTAAAAAGTATTTGGCAACGCTTTTCCATCAAAAATGTAGCTGAGATTATTTTATTTGTATTACAATATTTCACAAATGTATTTCATATATGTACAACATTTAACAATAATTTACAACTATAATAAAAATGATGTTTTTCTATTTTTTACATATTTTTAAATGATCAATGCTTTTTGCTGTGTTTTTTACGAAATGCAAACAAATGCTACCAAATGCAACCAAACTGCAACTGCAAAACATTTTCGTTTCAACTCGTTATAAATCGTTGCGTTTTTGTTGTCCAACCAATACCAATGAGTGTGTGTGTAAATACCTTTATTTACATTTTAAAAAAATACGAAAACAACTAACTAAACCAAACCAAACCAATAAAAACCAATTTCTGAATATTTAATTTTTTAATTCAATCAAATTTCTCAAACTAACAACAACAACATACTATGTTCCAATTTGAAAAAATTAACAAAACAAGTTTTTTAAATTTACCGCCATCTATCAGGGCGAGAAGCGACGCGATGCCGGCGGTCCCAACGAGATTGTGGCCTGCACCACTTGTGGTGGCAGCAACAGCCCCTGCACTCACTCGGCGAACAATGGCTGCGCTACAGAGGTGAGTATGATAAGTTCTCCGGTTTTTCCAATTCACATTACTAATTACAATTCAAATACACTCCCACAGACTTGCTTCGTACAGATGCGAAAAAAGGAGCCACCACATCCCATACGCGTGGCCAAGACCATCGATGTTATTGCAAGAATTACATTTCCAACTGCTTATGCCATATTTCTGATATTCTTCTTTGTACACTATAAAGGGTTTTCGTAAAACTAAGCATCATGAAAAGTATATCATAACAAATTCGCGCGTTCAAGTGCTATGCTAGTGCAAATAAAATGTAGTCGCGCACCCAAAATATTGTTTATATGGAACATTTTCCTAAGTTAGGCCTTGCAAAGTCATTTAATTTTAACGTAACAAAGGGAAACACAAAGTAATTTAATAACAATTAACAACTTACAATTATAAAATTAAATCTTAAACCAGTATGGCAAACAAGTGATAAAACGCAAAACGTCAAAAACTTAGTTTAAAAAAACAATGAGTTGTTATCGCAAAAACACAAATGAGAAAAACAAACAAGCGTTTAACATAAGTTGTTATTATGTACGAGTATTTAAACATTATTAAATTTAAATGTATTGCAATTCAAAACTAACAACAAAAAACAAAAATACGAAACAATTTCGACTGCCTTTTTTAAAAAAATAAGCAAACAGTAATTGAAACCAAACAAAACCAAAAATTTAACTTAATGCACGAGATGCATTAATAAATAATAACAAACAAAGCAAATTGTAATATAATTATCTACAATTAAGTCGGTCATACGAACATACTACTTATATGCTGAAAGTACCAATCCCGAATACATGCATGTACATACAAGTATGTACAAGTATTAGCAAACAAACGATCTAAACAAAAGTCCTACTCTAAACTCATCATGAAATGCAAACCAAACAGCTTTAACGCTTCATCTAGTACTATGCGTAGTCGAAATGGAAACAAAAGATTCAAGCGATACCAAAGTAACAAAATATAGACGCTATATATTTACACGAACTCTAGTCAAATATTGTAAAAGAACAATTTTGTTAAATTAGTCCAATCCTCAAGTGTTATAAAAGCCCTTTGTTAATTCATTGAATGGGAATGAGTTGATCCTTGCTGTATATACTTACGTATTTAATAGCTTAGATAGTGATTTCAATATTTGGTTCTTATCTGAATAAAACTCGACTCTTATATGCATAAGCAAAAACTATTATTATTATATCTATGATTTTCTTTATGGACTTTTATTTTTTCCAAATAATGTAGTTTTCTACCGCCTCCAAATGTCATTATTTTGCTCGGTTCTGTTTTGACTCAGCATAGACTTTGCTTCACAATTTAATTTGAACCGATCTAAAGCCGTGTATTTATTGTCTTCAAAGCACATGTTAGCTATTAATAATATTTGAAGAAGCAAATATTTACATTAATTATTTTTTACAAAGGTAATTTGGACGAAGTCTTTTGTTTTTATTATTTGTATTATTTTAGATACGATAAATAATTCAGCTTGACGGTTGCTGAATATGGTTTTAACGAACTACTATATTTATTTACGTCTAGTTGTCAAACTGAATATAATATAATACCAATTTCTCATCTAAACACGAAATTTTAAATTTCAATTTGGCGTCCTATTTGATCAGCTGTCGTCATGAAATTGAAACAAGTTGGCAGTTCCACCTACCATCTATTTTATAGGCTTCGCAAGGAGTCAGTCAATATCGAAGCTAGTCTTGTGAGAAAGTTTATCATCCACAACGCGATAATTCACATTGGAGAGGCGAAGTAAATACTATAATGAGTATTCTGTTGGAAGAAAATGATTAATTTTTATTGATTACCTTTAGTTATTGCTTACAACTTTAATGCCATTTTTTTTTATTTATTTATTTTCTTTCCAATCATCCTCAGCATTTGTGTAGCAGCAGGAATTGGATAACAATTTTATTAAAATACATATCAAAGCTAATAGGAAAAAATTTAAAAGGTATTTATATATATATGTTGAATATATGTATGTAAGTACAAAACCTATACAAAAACACTCGATGAAGCTATGAAATGCATATGCCAACCCAACTAAATAATCTATGTACCAGATATAAACCACTTAAGTATTTTAGATAAAATTTACGCCACATCTCAGTTGGTTACAAAAGCAACTAAGAAACGCGCTCCAGAAACCCTTGCAAGTAGACCAACGCTTTAATAAAACACAATTAACTAAAAACAAAACTTAAATTAATTAAATTAAAAATCTTGTGATAAACACAACTACAAAACAAAACATAAAAATAAAAACGAGGGATAACCCTTTGCATAAAATGTATTTTACTTAATTGAGCAGGTTATTGAGGGCCACCGTTATTAATTGTTTAAACAAAATTATATTTAAAACAAGTTTACACAAAGCTTTTTGCAAACTATACATATATAGACCTGTAGATTTGTTAATGTTATTATTTAAAAAGCTTCGCATGTATTTCTCCTCATTACAGTTTACAAGAAAAGAAAAAAAAAACACAAATACAAGGACAATCTTTTTGCAATTTAAAAACAAACAAAATTAGTTAATGCCTAAACCAAAAAAATAACACATTATAATACAACCAAAAATCTTCTTGCTGGTCTTAAATAATGCTGAAAATTCTAAAATGTTGTACGTTCAAAAAGTAGTTGCGTACACACATAAAATAACAAAAGGCACAAGTAAAAGTAAAAGTAAATGAACAAGAAGCACGTCCAAGAGTAAAATGTTTATTGAATAATTGATATCTAACCAGTTTATTTGCATTCCTATGCCACACCTAGCAGAAGGAAGCATAACTAGAATACAATTAGAATGTGTGGCCAATACTTGTAAAAGGAATGTACAAAAGCCACAAAGATTGGGCAATTTGTTTAACAATTGAGCAGAAACTTGTATATACAATTTGTAAGATATTTTGCCAGAGGGAAGAATCATCTATTGTTACAAGAGTGTTTAAAGCTAACAATTGGATAGGTGCCTTCTTGAAACATAAACTCTGATTATGGAAACGTTGCTGCAATATTTTAATGTTTTGCATTAAGCTTAGCTGGTTTCACACGCAAAAGTGCAACAATTGTTAAAGGTATGTATACGCCTAAAAAATGGGAATGACAAGCCTTTTAATAACCAATTTTCGTGCCCTATTTTCGAATTAGAAAACTAAAGTACTTCTGTTTCTGTTCACATATCCCATTCATATTTTAATCGCATGTTTATTCCAATGATTAACTAAATATAAAATTAATTTGAGCCGAGAAACGAATACAATTATAATAGTTTAAAGATAATTCAATAACAACTACAATTTAAAATGTCGCAGATTCATATTGCAATTCAAATAAATCAATAATATACAAACAAAAAAAAACGCTTTAAATTAAGAAGAAACTTAAAAAAAAATTGGCAAATATAAAAACTCGAAATGGAAAAAGGATTCATAGATTCGAACATAAGTTAAATTCTTTTTGAAATTTCAAAGCTTTACATTTAGAGAAAAATAATTGCCATAAACAAATTGTAAATACAATAAGTTTATATAGAAAATTAATTATTAATACATTTTGTCAAATACTTTAAATTACATTTTTAAGTACGTATTTATAAATATAAAACATTTTGCAAAAACTAAAAAAAAAAACAAAAAAAAAAACACTAATAAAATTGTAGGCAAACTAGAGAGAAACAGTTTGCATATTTGTTATATTAAAATATACGAAATTGTTTAAAATAATGCATAACACACATTTGTGTGTTACACGTTTTATGTTTGAAATACCAAACAAAATTCATTTTACGTAGATTTTTTTAAGAACAATTATTACTTTCGACACAAATTGGTGCAATGCAAAGCAAGCATTTTTATATCTCATATAATAAACCAAATAAAATAAAAGAAACACAAAAATCAATTTACTACTACACCTTGCGAAAACTTATTCACATTGCATTAACTATAAACAACATACTACAACATAATGTAAATACACAAAACGAAACCAAAACCAAAATGTAGCTATAGTTAATAACGACAAGAAATCAACAGAAACAACAACAACAGTAACAGTAACAGCTTCGCATTAATAAAGATCGTCTCGAACAAGAAACAAAACATTATTACAAAAAAAGAACAACATTTGAGAAATGTGTTTCACTTTTAAAGACGCGCGCCTTTTCAGGTCAATGAACAACAACTGCCAGAAACTGCGACTGCGCAGCCGCGGCCCTTAACGGCACAACCCCTAAAAGAACCTGCTAACAGCCTGACTCAGTCAGTAACAGCTTGCCAGACGCAACCTTTGGCATGCGCGCCAAAAACAAAAAACAAAAAAACAAAAAAACAGCATAAACAGGTTCAGAGAACCCTCAGTCGTCATCGACTATGACGAAGACAAGTGTTTTGACCCGCGCAACAGCTTCCTTCCGTCCTGCAACCGTCTCTGGGTCGACCTGTGCCGCTCCGTTGCGCTCGTTGATTTCTGCACCTGCAGCTGCAACGGCCTCAGCAGCCGCCGTTCCTTTTCGGGCCATGGCACGAGGTAAGGAATGGGGGAAGCCAACTGTCCTACTGCCTTCAGTCGACCAGCAGTTGTGCCCTCTGCCTTCTGCCTTTTGCTCACTCGTAATTATTTCAGCTTAATAGATGTGCCCGCTATATACTCGTACATATCTTCTTAAAAATGTATGTGTGTCTCAGTCTGGTAAGTATTTCTTTTAGAGGGCCTGTTGCATTATCGCCCTCTCGCTCATTTGCTAGGGTATAGCGATTAGAAGAACAAAGGTTCTTAAATATATGAAATACGTTACTCTCTAGTTCTTTCTCATCGATCGTATATGTATATTCATGTACGAGTATAGAATACGAAATATGCCTGATAGTGCTTTTTCTCATTGGTAATTAAGTTGGTAAGTAAGTCGCCAAATATTTGAATAAATGAAAATTATTATTGTCAAGATCAACTTTGTTTTCGTATTACTCATATTTTGGGTGCCATATATAATTTGTCTAAGACTTCAAATTAAATAATTGCGTTATTCTTACAATAACTACATTTCAATTCCTTCCACTTACAATTTTAATCAAATAAATAAACAACAATATTTTTAAATTTATTTATCTAATATTCCTATTTTTTCGACATACAGAGGCTGTCGACATAGGTGAAAGAATTCAAATATTATACAAAATTGCATTCATATTTAAGTCCCAGGCAAGAGTAGTCAGAGGCATTTAAAGATATACAAACTGAAAATAAATAATTAAATTATCAGAGAAAGTAAGCTCAGAATCAAGTACTAGATAACCAATTTATGTAGAATAAAAGTTAAAAATGGAATTACCGAAGATATATTAGCAAGTGTGGTAGGCAGAGAAAGTTCGGTTAAAATCAGGTGAAAATGATTATAATATTTATTATTATTTATGCGCTAGTATAAAGCCGGAAAAAGATTGTGAAATGCAGAAAAAAAAAACAAAGAAACAAAGCAGAGGATCAAACTTTTAAGACTAACTTTTAATAAGTCTAAGAGAACCCTTGTTTACAATAGTATAGATGTAAAGATTAAAGTTGTGTTTCGATTAAAAATAAACTTCAAGATTATTTGGTAATGGTACATTGCCAATCGATAAAGTAATTAAATATTGTCTGGACCGATCAAATGTGATTAATTTACTTTTGGAGCAGTTCAGATCATCCTGCAGGCGGATATAGATGGCCGTTTCACGATACAATATGTAATGCCACATCAAGACGAATCCATTATAATATTATATTCGTTAAACAAATACGTTTATGAAATATTCTTTTACATTTATTTTTTTCTATTTTTTGTAAGTTTTTTTTACACAACTCAAAAATTTTAATTGACTTATTTTAAATAAAAGAAACTTATGCCAATTGTTGGAATAATAGAGTAAATAATATACTGTAATTAATATTTGTATCATAATATTAGGGAAGGAATAATCCATGAAAAGATTAAGGGTATAGCATTTTGGTGTAAAAGTTTGAATTACCCAGAAGGGAGAATGGTGGACCACAAGTTATACATACTTATGTATAACTACTACTCCCCCCGCAATTTCCGAACTATCGCCTTAAAAGTGGGCACAGAGGATTCTTTTTAAGGCATGCTGATAACATGACAAATGACCAAGAATCACCATAAGCGTAAATTTTGAAAACTTCTATATACTATAATGATAATAGACAGGACGGACACAATATAGCTTATAAGTTATTCGCAGGGTAAGACCCTGAAGCATGTATTTATCTTCTTTTTTTGAGAAATAATAAAATTGTAGTTATTAAAAAAATGTAATGAAATTCATAATTAATATCAGTGCTCATACTTATCATATTTTGAGAATAAAATTGTGCACTTCTATTGAAAAAGGGCATCTATGACCAATGGAGACTTGGACATTTACAAAACTAACCGTATGCTAAGTAGATTAGTAAATCAAAAATAGTTTTGGATACACCCATTTGAATGTCCAGGTGCATATCACCCTACGCTGACAATCTCTATACCACAATCTACAATAAAAAGCAATCACTGCTTAAGCACAAAAACCAAATTCAACCACCCACCAAGCAAACTGGTAACACCCCCGTCATAATGAAATTTTCATATGCACTGCATGCAACGCCGCTACGGTGGACACCACTCGGACCCGGACGCAGACCCAGACCCGAACCCGAACCCGCACCCGGGCACCATCAAGTGCAACTATTCAACAATCGTGTGCAAACAACAAAGCACAGTATCTGTGGACTGCAACTGACTGGTGAAAAGAGGGAGTTCTGGACAACAAAAAAAGGGAATTAGGCACGAAGCGTTGGGTGTTGAGCAGTGGGCGCGAAAATTTGTTTTCCATGTCGCACACTCATGAGTGTAATGTTTCCTTTTTTCTGCACCTTAATTACTCCGTTGAGTTGCACGGAGAGTTGAGGGCGGCTAAATCTAAATAAAAATTAATTGCCACGCATAGCCACCGCAGAGCGAATTTCACCACGCAACTCTAACGGCAATTATTTGCTCGTGTGTTTTCCCACACTAACTCAACATCGCCGCCGCCGCCGTCGACGTCGATGCCGATGCCGCCACCATTATAATAAGCATTATGTTTATTTATTGTGACGCCGGTGCCGTGGCCATTGGCGTTACCAGTGCCTTCGTCGTCGGTGCCATACCGTGAAATCACTGAACCACAACGACCGACAGGTTGAGCCCGCACTTGCCCCCCAGCTGCTAAGGACACCGCCGCCGCGGGGCAAATGAGTTCGGCCATGCAGGGGTCAGGGGACGAAAGACCAAATCAATCATTTACAAGCGCAAAAATTTCACGCGTTTTAGCAAAACCGTTCGTGGTCCGAGCTTTGTAGTTGAATTGTTGATGGCCTTTCCAGCCCCTTACGCTAGCTCATATATTACAACCACAATAGGCCCATATTAATTTAAATAACACTTTTGGACTGTACAGTTTTGGGGGCACACTAAAAAAAATGCATTTTCATGTGGTAAGCTCAAACTTATAACTAGGTGATTTATAGTACATAGATCATGAATCTCCGAAATTGACTTCAAGTAAAACTGATTGGTCTTTCAAGTAACCTCAGTAGCTTCAAAGTTTTTATATATTTCTAATCACCTCTGCTATAGCGAACGAATTAAAAATTAACTTAAATTAATTAAAAGGAAAAATAATAAGATTAATATTTTGAACATCTAACATAGTATTATTGAAGATTAACAATTTATTTTTGTCCTCTATACCCGAATCTAAGCAAAATGGGCTGGGGCATGCTTTCCGTTCATCAAGAAACGCTGAATATATTCACTTAAATCGTGTTGTACCCTTTAAGGAATGTAATAAGTAGTCACAAATTTTCCGATAGAGAGTCGAAAGATCTGCAAGTATTCGTATTTTGTGCGCGACCAAGGCTAGCAGGATCAAATGTAATGTAAGCACAATTATCTCTGATTCAAAGATTAGCCTCATATTGCATTCAAAATAATTAAAGAAAGAACATAAAAGACTCTGCGGTTTTGTAGCTGAAAGCCATTTGTTAAACATTTGTTAAGCTATAAAATATTTTTACTGTTTTAAATCACACTTTTTGAAAAGTGTTAATGCATTATGATTGAAATAGGAATTACCTCAGGATATACTTGTTTCAAGGAACGAATTTGTGTGCAAATAGTTTGCTTATCTGACCGTAGCTTTGTTCACAACAAAGGCCCGTAAATGCTTCGTCATTAATAAGTATAAAAAGACAAAAAAAAAATCGAACCTAAATGTAAAGGCTGCTACCCATTAACAATAAAATACACAACACACGCCAACCACCTCTATCCCTACACCCTACACCCCACACACTGAACCCTGCACAATACTATACTATACTACTGCCATTTCGCCTCATGGTAGTGCCTCGGACGCAGCAATATTTTTATTGTATGTGCCACTAGTTTTTATAGAACTTGCTTTTGTTGTTGTTGTTGTTGTTGTTGTTGGTGTGGCTGTGTCACGTTATCAACAATCTCGTTTTACCAAATAACGCAAAGTGCGCACAGCGCAAATGTTAGCATTAGTATTGGTAGCAGAGTCAGTGGCAGAAGCAGAAGCAGAGCCAGAGGTAGAGGCAGAGGGAAAAGCAACAACAAGGAGCACGCTATACAAAAATGCAACGTCAAAAAACGACAACGATGAGGGAGTGGTCGCCAGGGCTTGGTAGAAATTGGTAGCATAACTTGGTGGTAACTGTTTGCTGCCCCTGCTGGTGGTTGCTGGTTGGCTGCCTTACTGCCAGCCTGCCAGCAAGCCAGCAAGCCAGCGTGCCAGCCTTTGTGGCAGTTGTTATTACCAACAATTGCCGCTACAGCCTGGTCGATGACGGCAGCGCACCAACCCCCTGGCTATTGTTGTTATTACCAGGTGTGTGTGCGTGTATTGGCCACATCATACATGCGTGCAGGTATATGTTTGTGCCTGTGTATTGGTAGTTGGTAGCTAGCAGCCAGTTGTCGCGTTTGCTTTAAAGTTGTGTGTGGTAGGAAATAAAATTTTAGTTAGTCACATGCCGTCGTCAAGGATACGCCGTGCCATCGTCAGTTTGTTGTGCATCGAATGCGCGTTTTAGTTGTCAGGGGCAACAGCAAAGAAACACCAAACGAAAAAATTAACAACACACACACACACACACTGTTGGAACAGTGGCTGTGAAAATTGCTGGTGAAATAGGCGCCGTGCAGGCCAAAGGACTCTATTTGAATATTGCTCGCTGTGCCGCGCCGTGCCAGTGCCAGCGCCAAACAAGGACAACACGTTAGCACCTGTCTAGATCTAGAAAAATATTAGCAGTTTCCGGCAGTGCCCCTGCCACTGCCACTGCTAGCGCTAACGTTTTGAACATTACGTTGCCGCGAACACGAATTTGAACTTCAGTCAAGTGTCAAAGCTCAAAGGATTAACATGTCCTGCGGCAGGGCAAGTGTGGCACACAGTTGATAGTGAAAACCAGACTGGTGTAATAGTGTTACAAGCTCAAGCTGCAAATTTAAAAAAAAGGAAAAGGATAAAGACATATTTCAAAATCGAACAAAACTAGGCAAAGAATTCCACACAAAAAAGAAAACATCGCCAGCGATAGGTCGAAAGAAAGTGGAACAGAGGAAACGATAAAGAAAGGGCGAACAGAGAGGTAAGTCGGATCAAATGATCATTCGAAGGAGCCACATCTGTGTTAGAGTGCCAAAACAATTGCTTTTGTTGTATCTTGGCACTGGGAGAATTCACAGTTGATTCCACAATATTCTGTGGTTCTTTGGGTGCCAAAATTCAACTTGTGGCCCAGTACAACAATAGGGCTCTAAAGATTGAGTGTTCCCGTTAAGACTTCTGAAATAGGCTAAAATCGGCATAAGCACCAATCGGGCTCTTATCTAAGCATTTAAATACGGGCTCAATTTGCAATTTTCACCAGCATTGCAGGATTTATAAAATAAAAATGATCAGTTCTCGATATTGAGTAAGCTATACGAATTTTAAAGTTAAAAACCTTGTTAGTTTTGAAAAATGCAATTCAGAGTAATAGGAATGAATAGGAAACAATTTCTGAGAATTTGTGTGCCTTTAACTAAGAAAATTTTAATAACATTGGTTGCAAACTGTATTTGTATTTCAAATCAAATGCGAAAAATGTGTTCAGAAACGGCAACATCGCTTATCGTAATCGCCAACAATCTACTAGATTTCCGTCCTAAAAGAGTTAAATAATATTTGTTAATAATAAAACAGTCATGTGGCTGATCCTTCAACTCAAGTTTTTAAAAATAATCCTACTTAATTGTTATAAGATAATGAAAGGCATTTCAAGATACGTGCCGATGCTGTCTACCCTTTATTGTCAATTTAAAAAGCAGGAATTTATTTTTGTATTTAAAAATTTATATAAGTGCTTACAACAAAAGGGTATTTCGTACAACAACTTTTTATGAATAGTAAGAAAAACTAAAACTAAAGGAGAGTAGTGTTTGAAACAGACAGACAGACAGACCAGCAGACAAGTCTATATCGATTAGTGTCTCGTCATGCTAATCATATACTACATATACTATACTATACTTGTTTATGCAATAGGAACAGCACCAGGGGAAGCATTCCTACTTCTGGGCATTACAAACCATATAATTATCCTTACTTTTATTTTCATTGAAAGGTACAAATAGCAGGCAAGCATTAGTATATCCAGCCAATAATACTTATAGGAAATCCCCGTATAAGCTTTAGAACAATCACACTATTACTCATACGCCGCATTGGCGTCCAAATCAATACACACGCGCCAACGGCGTGTTCTGTTCGTTGTAAAAAATGTTTTCAATATTCAAAGCCAACGAGACATAGCAATATTTTAATAGACATCCAGCACGCAAAGGTAGTGTCTGATGCAAGCGACGGAAATTATCAAATGCCTTAACAAACATATTCAAGGAATCGAAGTGTGAGCCGAAAACAAAATTATACAGAAAACCATTTAAAAATAAATTCACTTAATGTCTTGCGGAAACATTGAACTTTACGTCATAGTTCGGACGCGTCATCGAAATTCAAAACATTTCAGCCAAGGACCTAGCTTAGGAGTGACCATCACATTAATTATGCATTAAGAACAATAAAAATAATATGGACGGGCAGTTAACCTTTTCTAGAAAATAATTAATTGCACTGAAAACGTCAGAAGCCGCTACTCGAATAACTGGCTAGACGTGTGGAAGTCCGGACGTCTGTCGAAGCTTAATGAAATTTACATTTGAACTTATCTTGATTGGAAATTACATTTTAAAATGGCTGTTTGCATGTCCATGCAACATTGGGCGGGTAATCAAAGGCTTCCTAAGCCGGGGGCCTACCCGTATGCATTCGAAATCCTTTGCAGCAATTTGTAGAACTAAAACTCATTTATCTAATAGCGTTCGAGTGAGGTGCAGGTCTGTGGGGCGTGTGTTGCAGGACAGACACAGCTAAATATTTGATGAACCGGTTGTAAGAATGGGCGAACTTTGAAAAAGTCGTGTAATTTTGCTTACATAGCAATGCCAAAAAGTTATGCTATGAAATCTAGGCATGAGGCTTGAAAAGTTTCATTCTAAACTTATTAAAAATATATAAGTACTTCACGCTTTGATTTTGAATTAGTTATGATGGATTTGTTGAAATAAAATTTAAAGATATTCTTCATTTGATAATTGATAAAGAAACACAAATATTAAAGCTTAGAAAATTTGTTTGCAATTAGAATTTCGAATCATTTCCATCATCCGTACACTTTTTTACGATTTAAATAGATAATCATTAAATAACTTTTGAAAATATTTAAAGAAAGACCTCTTAAAATTTGTCTTGCTTCGAAAACTTAAGGACCCCTTTAGATCGTCTCTTACTTAATGTGATCATAGAGACTAGAAACTTTTTCTAGATAGCCATCTGCATCTTGGTGCTTCCTATATATGTATATATGCATATAATATTTATAGCCCCCGAGCCTTGTTACGCCTTCTAAGGTTGGGGGGGGGGGCTCCAAAAAGAAAATATAATTTCAGGAACGTGCTGTGCTGCATTTTCCAACGGCATAAATTAGCATTAATTCATAAGGTAGCAGCCAGGGAAGGTGGCAAGCAGTCAGGCAATACACGAACTGCATGTGCAAAATATTTTTTTGGCTACAAATTTGCATACAAATGCAGCTGGCAAGGCAAGACAAGGCAGGCAGGAGTCGGTACAACGAACTGCCAGGCAACGGTGGCAACAAATTATGCGGCAGCAACACCAATAACAATATGGCCAGAAACAAGAAGAAAAAAACACAACAAACTAAACGCCTGGCACATGACTGAATAATGGCAACGGTAGGCACAGTAATTTTCTAGGAATCAGGCAACATGACCGTTGGAATGAAGTTTGCCGTGGATTGTTAGGTCCTGCACAGTTGGGGGGTAGAGGGTTAGACCACCCAGAATGTATGTAGCAATGCACAGAGCGAAAAGTTCGTGTATAATTTATTTAATCGCAGGCAACAAATCTAAATTGATCGTTAGGCGTAGGCGCCCCCACCCGCCGAGTTGGACCGGACCCGGCCAGACCACCAACAAAAATGTCTAACAGGCTTTTCGCGTGTTTTGAAAAATCGGAAGAGCATGCCCATATATACAATATACACATACATACATGCTACTAATATGTACATGACTTCATGTACTACATCCGTGTGTACACTTTTCAAGCCATCCATTTATTTGTTCTTTTATTGCAGTGCCAATTAGTGGAAATATTCAAAATGGCGCCCCAACAACAGAACTCAACGTTCATCGATGATGATAATCTTGACACCTGTCCGTCGCTATTGAATTTGCCCGAAAGCCCCATATTGCCAACCAAACATCAACAACGCGGCCAAAATCAAGACAGCAAGAACAACCACTACAACAACAAAAAGAAGAACAAGGCACATTTGTATAATAAGCAAGCGGAAAATGCGTATGAAGAACGACTGGTGGATGGGAACGTGAAAATGAACGTGCAACAACAAACGCCATTGGCACGTTCATGCAAATATAAACATGGCACTGCTAACGGAAGTAGCCATACGGCTGCCACAACCGCAGCCGCTGCTCGTCGCCATCGTTCCATTTCCCTGTATGGCGTTAATAGCACTGTGGTAAGTACAGCGAATATGCGAGTAAACACAGCCGCCCCCCCCCCCCCCCCCCAACACTCCACACACACACACACAATCTACGAACAGCGAGGGGTTGAGAGTTGGCGAGGGCTCAGTGGTGGTTATTCCAAAGAAATCAAACAAATCATCTAATTGGGTGGGCAGGTGAAGGAAGCAAGTACCTGCATTATACGAGCACTCGTACATATCTTTCGACAGTTTGTTAGTCATAGTCATATGGAAAATATAACACCCCCGTACAGTTCCATAGGCTTTAAACACGAATTGGGTAGAGCAGAAAATGAAATTGGACAGTATTGTAGAAATAATTACACTAATCATAATATTTACTCCATATCAATATTTATTTGTTGGTTCCCATCAGAAATTCAGAAACAATTAACGCTCCCTTTAGCATTTCAACAGAAGTTGGTGTTACTCAACCTGTATAACTTAAAATAGGGATAGTTCAAATGTCTATTCACTTTTTAGAATTTCTGTGTTATTAGAGTGTAGTTTTTTTTATATTTGGATATGATATTAATAATGCACGTTTGAAAATAACTTTACAAATATTAAATGCACACAAATATAAATTATTATATGGAACCTACATATATGTATATGCACGCCTACTTATTTAAATGCATATATAGATAAATATAATGAATTGCTTAGGAAAAATTTTGATTTCTTGTAAAGCTTCTTTAAATAGTATTTATTTTAGAACCGATTATTGCATAAGTGTTTATGGACATTTGGCATTAATAATGATATATTCCTTGAAATAACAGAAGTGGGTTAAAATTTGAATTTTAAGCTGTTGTAATCAATCAAAGATACGCACGATTATCTCGAAAATGCGTGTACCAACTACATCATTTAAACTGATCAATCTCGGAAATTGTTATTCCAATGTGCGAAAATCCCATTAATTTTTTTTTTTATCATTGTGTTCATTCACCACCGCTTTGTCTGCTAATTGTAGATAGATATATTTCATCATTCTATGTATGTGGTAGGATTGATGATGACATAAGGGAATACAAAATAGAAAACAACTTTGTGTTCATATTGAAACACCAGACTATAAATTTGACGGCCGCACAAACATTAATAAGCCAATTTGCCCCCACACAGGAGCAAGGCCATAAGGAAATACCCATTTGGCTGGACGATGAGGAACCGCGTTATGTATCGGGTGTAACAAATAAAACCACATGCAATGACATAATCAAGGCGCTGATTGACGATGAGCTCCGTAATGGCAATGCGCATATTTACTGCAACAACTACAATAGCAACAACAATAATAAAAATGGCAATAAGTGCAAACAAGGTGAGTCAAGCAAAATATTTGTTTGAATTGCTTGAGATGTGGTTAGGTGAACTAGTTTTGAATTAATTAGAAATTGAATTACGGGCACTTATTTTTGTTTGCATTTTTAATATTTGTTTTACCTTTTTTTAATTATTTTTCTTTGAATTTCCGTATTTCAATCGACTGTCGCACATTTCCGGTTTCATGCCATTTCCTCTTACAAATATCCAAGATGGCGGCCATGGCTTTGACGCAGCATCGCGTGACTACGACGATTACGTTATAACGGAAAGTTGGCGCGGCATCGAGCGCAGCTACGATGGCAACATGGCCATTTTGCCCGTTTGGCGCGCATGGAGTCGTGTGCACAATGAGGTAATATGCCACCCTCCCCCACACCCCTGCAATGACCCACCAACCCACACAGCACGAACACCATGAACAAGTTGCCGTGCAAAAAAGGCGGCCCAAATAATACATAGTAGTGGGAAAAGTCGACAGTGATTGCATAATAAGCGTTCTTTTTGTTGTTTTCTCTTCATTTTTTTTTTTGTTTCTGTCCGTCCCTCAACTATGCACAGTCGACAGACGCCTGGCGCCACACGCAAAGCTAAGAAATGTGAAATTCATGTCGCTTGCGCCCCCAAATTCCCATTCCGAAGGAAACACTTCCCCACCATACACATGTTTGTACGGCTATATGTTTTATTGGATTGAGTTGATTATGCATCGTTGTTTTTTTTTTTTTCTTTATTTTTTGAAGTTGTTTCATGACGCACGAAACGAAATCAATTTGCCTATTGATTTTTATATTAAACTTAATGCTTTTTTAGCTATAATTATGCTCGCGGGCGTGTTTTGCTGGTTTCTTGCTTCTAGTTACTGGCATGCTATGACTATTTTTCTAACCCTACTGGGAGGCCATTAAGTTCCTTATCATGGTTGGCGGGCCGCCTAGAAAGGGGCCCTGTTTTCATTTATAGGGTAATAGGACTTTAATTGTCGCACATTTGGTTTGTGTTGGTATTGTTTGATGGTGCCACTAAAATTAGTCATTAATGGACTTGCAGGCAATTTGCTGTAGCAAGTTAGAATTAGTCATAAAAGCTAATTTTGTTTGGTTTTTCTATTTGCAGATACGCCTATCACTCAAGCAGCGCCGACAACTCCACGGCCCACTGCCTATGAGACTGGTGGAGGAGAAGCACAAGCCGTCCGCCACAAACTTCTCAATGTTCCAATGGTTGAAGAAACTATTTCGTCTCTCCAAAACTGCCAAAAAGGCCAATCTTCCAAGTAAACCAATTGCCAAAGTGCCGCAAAAAATATTTCAACATGAGAGTTGTGTGAAGCCTATGGCTGTCCTACAGCCCGATCAGCTATATAAGGAGAAACAGGAACGAGTCCAGGCACTTACCCCTAACCCAAGCAGCAAGACCCAACTCTATAAATTAGCTGAAACCCGTGCCACTGTGCGTCGACGTCGTCGGCATCGCCGCGAGCAAATGCGTTCGACTCATGCACCTGTCATCAGCAACTGCAACAAAAACAACCACAATAACATCAGCAACAGGGACCTAAATTGCATAAGACGGCGCCGCAAGGATGCGCCACTGAGGAGCAGCGTTCGCAACAAGCTGGCCGCGATGCATGCTGAGATAAATGCCCGCTATGAGCGCGAATACACCCTAACCCGACAGCTGTCGCAGAAGTGCAAATTGTTCCGACTCCAGAACGAACGGTATACAACCAAAGAGATGGAGGAGTCGGTGGGTCAACTGCAACGCAATATTGAAGCCTATGCTGAGGATATTGTGAAGACAGAGCATGAGCTGCTCGAGCTAAAGAATGAAATTAAACAGGACATTTCAATGTTGAATAACCTGAAACGCATGACGCTCGACGAAACAACAGATGTAAAGGGCGTCGTTAAAACGGACCCTGATGATAAGGCGACCACCAAACAGAAGCCTATTACTCAAGCTGCTAAAATAAATGATATGCAATTCGTTGATAACATTTATGAGTTTTGCGACAATAATGCAAGCATGTTAGTTTAGTTGTAATCAAGTTTGTTACGTTTTTATACAAATAAATACAATTTTTTATATGGTCCAGAGCTTAGTTGTGTTAAAACTAATTTTAAAACTCATCATTCTCTTTCCGAGATACTCATATTCGTACTAGCAGACGTGCAATCCTACATAGAGAAATAACTAAATCAATTTCCTTGCCAGTTTGTTTACTTTCAGAACCTCATTTAAATTCTCCAAAACCCCTAAAAATTAATATATGTATATAATATATTTTCAATTACTATATTGTTTGTTTAAAATATTATAAACTCGGTGATATTAAAACTAGAAGAAAAGCAAACAATTTTCATTTTGATAATTTTGTCTGTTAACTGTCGGTACTGCTCTTATTGAAATAATATCGTTGAGTATTTTTTATTTTTTTTATTTTGTTAATATTTTTATTTACCCATAGATGGGAAGTTATGAATATAAAAGGTTTCTAGGTAGAACCAAGGTGTAAGGGCCAAACAGAAAAACGCAAATTACGATTTTTGTTGTTTAGATACTAATTTTGCAAATTTAGTTGCGCAACTACTGCCTGCCTTATTGATGCTATGGCAAACAATTGACATACTATCTATCTTTTAAAATTGTTTTTTGATTCGAGCGCCATGGGAAATGCAGCTCTGTTACCAATCGAGTAGACAGACTACCAGAAAGTTCAATCCTACATTCCCAACCCTAAAATTCTGCATGTCAGCTTGAGAAACTTGATTTAATATTTCCCAACAAAAAATTAACCCTCCTCTGATAACATTAGTAAACCAGAATTATTGTAGAACTGTTTTGTTAGATTTCATAAAAATATCAATATTATTATCGGTTTCGCCAAATATAATATATCGAAATGTATAAATGAACTATCGATATAATATCAACAACCCTAATCGTCTAGCAACAAAACAAACAAAATTGATCTTTGTATAAATTTTCAAATAATTCTAAAATAATTTCGGGTAAATAACATCTGGAAATCAAATAGCTTATATCCAGCTATAAATTCTGTAGAAACTACATTGGCTCTCACAACGCACCAACAGTTACAAAAATAACAACAAATTAGGTAAGCACGCGAATGGTACGCAAATTTTAACGCGTTGGCATTTTCTTATAAAGTAATTATAATAATAGCTAACTCGGTATTCCACAAAAAATGTGGTCTTACGAATTTTAGAAAAAAGTCGCGGGCGTGCTTTTGTCTTACGGTTGCCACAAAATTTGCACATGTCCGGAATCGAGAACGTGGTCGCATCGTACATTTTAGTCATTGACTGTCTTCGTGTGCGGGGAGGGGGGTGGTACTAATGCTGGTTGTAGTATTGCTCTTGGCTGATTTCAATATTAGTGTTCAATTGCTATTGACGAAACACGTTTTAAAGTTAAAGAGGCTCTATTTCCAACCAATTCAAAGTGCGCGTGAAAGAGAAAGTGCCTATGAGGCTGCGTTGACGTTCATTTGCCACAGCTGGCGCGCATCACCCACACACGCACACATTCACTCTTGCTTGCATATTAAGTATGTGAATGTCCCGTTTAATCACAGTACAAACCGCAAAGTAACAAAGAGATCTCCGCGTATCGTAAACTTAAAATAAATCGAAAAGCCATATCGATGAGTTTTTGTTGTTTTTATAATCGCATCGTTTTATCAGCAACAATTCAAATTGATAAATGTAGTCTTTTTTACAGCCTTTAAACACTAAACAACAAAATGGCTCGCGGTCATCAAAAAATACAGTCCCAGGCTAAAGCTGCCGAAAAACAAGCCAAGATGAAGAAACAGCAAGGGCACAGCGCGAATGACCAGAAGAAGGCGGCCCAGAAGGCGCTCGTCCACGTGTGTGCGGTCTGCAAGGTAGCTATACATAGACACTCACATACATTCATATACATATACATATGTACATACACTTTTTCCGCAGTCCCAAATGCCAGATCCTAAGACGTACAAACAGCATTTTGAGAACAAGCATCCGAAGAACGATATGCCCGAAGAGCTCAAGGACGTTTAATCCAAGTGAAGCGCATTTAGAAATGTATATCAAGAACTTAATGACGAGTTGCCTACCAGTACGAAAATCATCAGCAACAATAATTGAACAACAATCACAATCAACATCAACTGCTAATTTGCAAATTGGGGAATTGCTATAAATGCGTTTCAAGCTGAATTTTTTATACCATTATAAACGCAAGTCCTGAGTTCCAATTCCTACATTGCCGATGTAGTTTTCAAATGCCAATGAAAATTGTTTTTCTGTTCTTTTTTTAATGGATTAAATATACTAAACACCAGCAACAACTGTTGAAATAGAGCACATTTGCTTTTGTTTTAGCACTGAAAACTTTAACTCAAGCAATTTAACGAAATGTAGACTTAAAATAAGAACCTACAATAATTTTGCTACATATGTTTGGGTTTTACTTGTAATTTATCGGTTTATACATTTATGCCTGATGAGAAATCATGTTTTTGTACAATAAATTGAAAGATCATGTTAATGGGATTTTATAAATATATAATAAAAAGCGAAAAATTGTTTTAAAAAAATTAATGATTTTGGTAAAGAAAATTAATATTAAATCAAATGCAAATTACAAACAGACACAAAATACACGCATACATAGAGAGAAAAAAGGTCAATATAAATGCACTATTAAATGCAAGACTTAACTTCAATGTCTACATACTAAAAAATAGGATACATTTTACATTCGTCAGCATATTTGTACAATGCGAGGGTCAAGAGGTATTTTTACTGCCGACGCTTTGGTCATATTTTGACGTCGCCGGCTCTGTTAGGTGAAGCAATACCAAATCGTCGGTCGCCGGAAAGTCTGCCAGAACTGTAATACCTATATTATTTTCAGTTAGTTTAGGTGTCTCTTCGTGGTAGCCAAACCAATAGATGATAATGCCAGGCCCAAAACGATTACAGTAGCTATGCAACTGCTGCTGTATGTTCCACTTGTGACTCTTCAGGTCCCCAAAATTGGCTTTGCTCTCTATCCAATTGACAACAGCGCCTTTGTAAAGGAAGGGCAATATCATTTTAATATCAGGCGTCTTATCGTAGCCCATTCGTCGCAAATCCTGTTCGTCATAATAGTGCATGCCCGCCGCCTTTGCGAGCTGTTTCATTTTTAGTTCGTATTCCTCACCAACTATTCGCCGACGCAGATCCGTAATGGGCCCCTCCTGGTTGTCACTGCAAAGACATTGTTGAACGTTGGCCGCTAAGCGCGGGTCCTCGATTAAATGCGGATATCTTAGCAGGCGTGAGATTTGCGATTTCTGCCGCAAATCATATTTCTCCTGCAGCACAATACGGGACAATGCCACAGGACTCATATTTTCAACCACAGCCATACGTATAAGCAGGGTATTGTCTTTGTAAAGGTGACATTGATCTTCGTACCTGTGGTGTATGCAGATTAAGGATTAGCAGTAGAACAAACATAATAGCATTGACAATACGTACGTTTGGAGCAGCTGCTTGGCACGCTGCTCGGAGCGCCAGTGCTGACTGCGCGTTTTACTGAAGATTTCTGTTTGCAATATGCAGGTCAATGTTAAATGCTCCACATCCGGAAAGATGCGCTGCACCATTTCCAACTCGCAGTCCAGTGGCAGGCCGTGATAGCTATTGATAAATTGACAAATGCGCGCGTGCTCCTCGTTACTAAGGATCTTTTTTTTGCTCGGTGGAGTTGCAGACGCTACGGGTTGGGACTCGCTCATCATAAAATTCTTTCTAAAGCTGTATTTTAATTGTTTTAAATTAAACCTAATTGCCAAAAGTGCGCCAGGAAACAGCTGCAGGCCCACAGCTGGCGTTTCTGCGCGATGACCAACACTGACCGCAGGTCGGATATTTTTACAGGTGACTACCTTTAACCAACGAGTTGGCAGTTCCCAAAGTTAGACTCTAAAGCGACACAGTCCAAGATAAAGCAGACACGTCAGATTATTTTATTAAATATTTGCACAGTTGTTTCTACTGTCAATCCGATTAGGGAAGTACACGCGCATTTCATAAGAATAATGGCGCGCACAGTGGCGCAGGCACTGCTCCTATTTTGCCTAGTGACGCATGCAGTTAGTTTGCCTGTAACACAAAAGAAGGATGACAAGAAGGCAGACGCCAGTACCCCCGCGACAGTTGAGGTTGAAACTGCATTAGAGTACGAACGTTACCTGCGCGAAGTTGTCGAAGCACTCGAGGCTGACCCTGAGTTCCGCAAGAAGCTTGATAAGGCGCCCGAGGCAGACATACGTGTAAGTTTTTTGCGAATATTCCCATCAGAGATGGCCTGCTAAATTACACATCTTTGCACAGAGTGGAAAAATAGCGCAGGAACTTGACTATGTGAATCATCATGTGCGTACAAAGCTCGATGAGATCAAGCGCCGTGAACTGGAACGTCTGCGAGAATTGGCCAATAAGGAGTTCGAGCTGAGTAACGACATTGACCGCAAGCATCTAAAGGTGCCACAACATTTGGACCACGGCAATGAGCACACTTTTGAAATTGATGATTTGCGAAAGCTGATACAAAAGACGTCCGAAGATTTGGCGGAGGCGGATCGCAAGCGACGCTCCGAATTCAAGGAATACGAGATGCAAAAGGAATTCGAGCGGGAGGCACAGAAGAAGGAAATGGACGAAGAGTCGCGTAAAAAATTTGAAGCTGAAATGAAGGAGAAAGAGGAAAAGCACAAGAAGCATGAAAAAGTGCATCATCCCGGCAACAAAGCGCAGCTGGAGGAAGTCTGGGAGAAACAGGATCACATGGAGAAAGACGACTTTGATCCAAAGACATTCTTCTCCGTTCATGATGTTGACAGTAATGGTGTCTGGGATGAAGCTGAGGTAAAGGCGTTGTTTGTCAAGGAGCTGGACAAAGTGTACCAAAGCAACCTACCCGAGGATGATATGCGCGAGCGGGCTGAAGAAATGGAACGCATGCGTGAGCACTATTTCCAAGAAACGGACACAAATCACGATGGTTTGATCAGCATGCAGGAGTTTCTCACACAAACCGCTAAGGAGGAGTTCCAAAAAGATCCCGAATGGGAGACCATTGATCAGCAGCCTCAGTACACCCATGAAGAATATTTGGCTTTCGAACGTGCCCGCCAGGAAGAGGTGCAGCGCATGGTCGCCCAAGGACTACTTCCACCCCATCCAAACATGCCTCAGGGTTACTACGCTGCGGCACCCCCACCAGGTGGTATGGCCTACCAACAACCCCCGCCCGGTGCGCAGCCAATGCACTACCAGCAACCGGACCAAATGCACATACAACAGCAACAACAATACCATCAGCAACAGGCCCAATACGCACAGCACCAGCAGTATGGACAGCCACAGCCGGTCCAACTAAATCCCAACCAAGTTTATCAGCATGTTGGCAATCAAGCCCAGCCGCAATATCAACAGCAACAACAGCCCGTCTATCAGCAACAACTGCCCGTTTATCAGCAACCTCAGCAGCCTATGCAACATCAACAGCCCGTACAACATCAACAGCCCGTACAACAACAACAGCCTGTGCAACAACAACAACAACCTGTGCAGCAACAACAACAACAACCTGTGCAGCAACAACAGCAGCCTGTTCAACAACAACAGCAGCCTGTGCAACAGCAACAACAACCTGTGCAACAACAACAGCAGCACCAACAGCTAAACAATCAAAGTCCTCCGCCTGCGCAAAATCAACAACTACCCGTGCAGCAACAGCAAAAGCAACAACAACAACAACCTGTTGCTCAACAAGCGCAAGTGCCGGCCCAAACACAACAACAGCAGCAAAAACACTAAACGCAACATTCCACGTTGGGACATCTGTGCTATATCTTTTGTCTATGGTAAATTCTAGTTGAAAACTTTTGTAAATTGACTGAAAACAACATATAAATTTATGTGCTAAAATCACAAACATCAATTCGCCAGAACTGTTTTCCATTTCAGCATTTGTTATACAACAAAAATTCATTTTTTTACTCCAGCCGTATTTACAGCAACTATACCTGCTTTTCTCTTTTGTATTATTAGCCATATTTTTTGTACATAATTCAAATTACAAAATATGATATAACTATGCAAATTAATAAAAACAACAAAAAAGCAAAGGCATTGCAGAATTAATTATGCGTCCTACATTGCCAAACCATTATATTGAGTAGCAAAACAGTAATTGGATTACAGAAGCTTCGAAATTGAAGCAGGCTTGAGAATTCGTTTTTTGTTTCTTTCCCGTCACAAAAGCATTTCCATTCGAGAAAATAGTATTATTATTAAGTATTTATATATGTGGTCTTCCATCAACTAGTGGTAATCGGCTCAGATATACATCTAGAAACGCGAGAACGCATGCATAGACACTACATATACATTATATATTACCCGCTAGCGAAATAAAAATAAAAAGGGAAATAATTTGGAGACTCGGAACTTAGCTGCATTTAAATGTTTTAGAACGAATATGCGAACAAAAATTTATTTAATAAATGAGAATGGGAAATTTAACAATCTTTGCCATTTCCGACTTTTTTAAAATGCAGACAGAACACATTTAATTACGATGCAATGTAAAACAAATATAGAAAATGTAACTGTAATAGAAGAAAATTTTTTTTTTTACGCAAAAATTTTATTTGGGAAATTCGCTTTTGGTAAGACTAATACAAAAATGTTAGTTTTCGTACATATGTAACTTAAATACAAATAAAGTGCACAGTCCATTATACTGTAGGTATGATTATAGCACATATTGTGAGCCAAATTCGTTACAAAATTAATTGCTCGAAGTTCTTCAGACTTGCTTGTAGCAGAAGTTATTAACAAATGATAATGCAGTTATATTATAGCAAAATGTAAACGATTGATAGTTTGTGTTTTTATAATAGTAGGTAGCTTACAAGTCAAACACAAATGTTGCCTTGCAGTAATTAATTGTATGGATTATGAGACATTGCAATAGGCTGATCTGCATAAATAGGGAGTATGCATTCATAGATTTATATTGTTATCTTATTAATTATATATGTATATATATGTGTGTGTTTTAAGGTTTTAGGCGTGGTCTAGCCACTGAGCAGCGCTTATTGTTAAGACTTGATTTTTATTCGATCGCTTTACTTATTCTCGTTTCATGATCAACACTGCACACTACAACAAATAACGGTGATATAGTTTTGCACGCTTTTACAAAAATATACACACAAATAACATGGATTCATATGTTTTATTTAAGGCCAACTGTGTATCGTGTGTTCGTGTTTGTGTGTAACCTGTTTCTATTTATATATTGTTTATATTGTAATTGTATTTATGGGGATGTTCCAACTAAATGCAATTGTAAGATTCAATTAAAGACATCAATTTTTATCACTAGGCAGCAACAGGCGCTTGAATAGCGATAACTAAATAAATTAAGTGAGAGTTAGAGAGCGCAACAGAAAAATACATAAAAATAGTGATGAAATGGGCACAAATTTGATTACAATAATGTCTACTTGGTCCAGCGATCGCTCAGCGCCTCGCGATGCTGGACGGGCGTGGCAAGCCGCTGCGTTTCATTTGCGTAGGCTGTCTCAACCCCGAGGGCTTTGGTATCCCACTGGCACCGGTGGTCACTTGCGTCAGCCTCGACGTTAGCGTTTGCGTATCGAATGTATTACCATTCGCTTTACCGCCCTCCTTGCCATACAGACTGCCGCGGGAGGATGCTGATGAAAGACTCTGTGGGAGATTACGAAAAATGTTAAGTAAGGATTTCTTGTATAAGGCATCCGTTTACCTCTGGTGTTTCCGCTTCTGTCGATGCTACTGACTTTCCCGCAACACTTAAACTGTAATAGCCGGACGAAGGACGAGTCAGGCCATTTCCAACTGCACGTTTCCCTGTTCCCGTTGGCGCTCGCAAACCACTCACCAATTTCGGAACTTTGAATACGGATGTTTCATCGGCCTATTAAAGAATTTATAAGCGTTTTAAATTGTGAGCTACAGCTTGGATTTCTTTAAATGACATTCTATATTTCAAGAAGCCAATCCTTTTAAAGCAATCAAAAATATTTTGACATTGATAACAGTTTCTAGTTAATTTTAGTTAGTTATTAAAGCTATTTTGCTGTTATTTACCTCCAATTGCTGCTGTTGTGTCTGTTGCTGTGCAGCGGTTGGCGCACGGATTCCACTCATTGGCTTGGTCTGTCCCGGTCGCCTGAGGCCACCAAGGCTGCCACGCGGCGCAGCTAAGGCAGGGTTGACGCTAATGTTGGATGATAAATTGTGGAACGACTTGGATTTGATCCCCATCGGGCTTTTTAGTTCACTGCTGCCGGTTGTTGTAGTTCTGATTGAGGTTGCAGGCACCGCTGGTGTCGTTGTTGTGATTAAACAGGTCGTTGCATTCAGGCCTGCACCCGCCGAAGTCGCTTTTGTTACAGTCGAAAACTTTTGCAGTCCACTTATGTAACGTGGTCGAGATAGAGAACGCGGTGCTGCATCTATTGGCTGCACATTGGGCAATTGGTGTTGTGTCAGCGGTGCCTTTTCCTTAGGCTTCTTATATGTCAAATAGTTACTGCTGTTATTGTTTTTGTTAGGATTGAAGACTTGCGAACGTTCTCGGCGTGATAATCGCTGCTGTGTAGGCATTATCTCTTCCTGCTGCTGCTGCTGCTGCTGTTCAAACCGCTCATCATTAACAACATCGTCATCGATACAAGGCACTATAATTTTCTGCTGATCTTCGCGCATTTCTTTTGTGATCTTAATAGTCTTAAATCGCTCACGATCTCGCTCACGGCGCTCGGTCAATTTATAGCTGGTCACATCAGTCTCTAACGTTTGAAACGCTCCGGTTTGTTGCTGTGACTGTTGTTCCTGTTCCTCTTCCTGCAAAGGGGTACAAGCCTCATCGGTGGGTTGATCTAAATACGATTGCGGCTTTTGCTTTTCCTCCTCTTTATGTTGGACAATAAAGGATGTGGAATTGCAACTGTTTGATTGCAAGGCGCTCAGATTAACATCGTCATAGAGCCGGCTTCGTCTACTAAGCAAACGTTCGCTACCACTGCCACTGCTGCTGCTGTGGCTACTCAACATTGTTGAAGAGTTGGCGTTTGTATTTGTATTCAGCTCTGGTGCCTTCAGCTCCAGCGTCACATTCAAATGTGCTGATATTGATGGCTCGTCAACTGTGACGTTGTTAAACCTCCGCTTAATACTCTCCAGCGATTTTTTCATTTTTAGCTGCTCCGCATTTAATGCATTTACCTTGCCCAGCTCGGCGAGCATATGTTCAAATTGCTCCTCATCATCCTGCTGAGTCAATAGCTCTACTTCAGCCTCGGCTAGATCCATGACACATTGCATTTGCTTCGCCATTTCATCCTGTTCCGCTTGCTCTGCCATATTATAGGTGCCATCCAGCGGATGCTCAATTTGGTCCAGCATCTCCGTAGTGTCCGCAATTAACTTTTTGCCATCAAAGCTGCTTGCTGCCGGTTCGTAGGTGTTATTAAGCAGGCGTGTCGATTTCTGAGGCGTTGGCGCAACAATTGGCGATAGGTTCACGTCGTCGCCGCCGCGACCTTTGAGATTGGGAGTATATTGTGGATGTGGAAGCTGCTGCTGTTTGTTATTATTGTTGTGGCTGAAGTATTGCTGCTTTACGTTTGAGGTTAATGGGGTCGATTCAAAATTCAATTTGCTCATATTCTCGGGTGTCTCACAGCGCGCCTCGGGCGTTCCATCAACTCCTCCGCTTACATCCGTGTACGTTGTGTTCATCGCTGGTAGCCCCGCAAATAGCAGTGTCTCGTTTAGGGGTAATGCATTAGGTTTCTTAAACGTGGCATTCGCATCATTCGGCACATCCGTTGTGGGGGTGTTCATGCTGCTATCTACAAGATTGAAGGTGGTGTCTCCAATCATCTCATCTCCTAGTATCATAGTTCGTTGCAGAGCTGTGCACACGGGCAGAGTACGATTTGCATTCCGATTATTGCACTCATTGTGGGTCGTGGTCGTCGTTGCTGTCGTGGACATGCTTTCCGTGGAATTGTCCATTGTGCTGTAACCTGAAGCGGTTTTGCTTAATGTTAGCGAGATGTCGTCTATTTGCCCAATGTGCGAATCCTTGATTAGAGTACCGTCACCGGACATCGTTAGCGAGTCAAGCGCCTTGCGATCCCTGATCATGTCACTGAGCGTGTACCCTTCTAGAGTTGTAGCTGTAGTCAGTGTGGTGGTTACATTCAAATCCGACTCGAGGCTCTGTGTCGATTGTAGGAAATTTAGGTTGGTAAAGTCCGCCGATGTGATGAGAGAGTTGTTCATGCGCTCGTTATTCATGGAAGAACAGATCGAAGATGGCGGCGAGGTGTCTTGAAGAAAGGATTTATGCATGTTGGTGACCAGTCCGCCAATTTCCAAATTTAGTATTGGAGTGGCCTGTGTAGCATTTGCGTGTGTTCCTGTAATATGCGCCTGCAACAGAAACAAAGTTTTTCAATAAAAGTTCTCGTAGATGCTTGTATTTTTCAGAGGTATTGGCACGAAAGCAGGAAGGTACATTTCACAAACCTTCTCTGTGGTTTTAAACACGCCGTACAGCACAACTAGAGATATCAAAAATGGCGCCGCAAATATAAAAATCTCGTACATTTTTAAAATTTGGTAATGAAGGTCTATTTTATTATTTTACATGTATTTTGTAAACAAATATTATGTATTTTCAATTGCCTGCTAACAAATTTTTCATTTCATAGTTGAAATTTCTTGTTAGACAAAAACGAGAACAATTTGAATACGCTCTGGAGTCTGAAGAAATATTTTCATATTTATGTTCGCTCCCGTGCCATTACCTCTGGTGAATCATGTACTTACGAATTGGGTGTCCAGATTTTGAGCCACCTGTGCTCTCCGTTTAGGGCGCGTGAAAGTTTTCGAGTTAAGTTTGTAGGCTTGTGTTTGAATTAAAAATGGCAAATATACATATTTCATTAGCATTAAATTGTTCATGAACTAGTGTTTTTATGTGGCTTAATTATGGCTTATTGTATTGTAGAGTTTGTGTGGGTGCGTGTAGTTGTGCGTATAAGAATAATTTATATTTGAGGTTTATCTATAGTAAATCTATATCTTCATAGTCTTCATCAATGCATAAAGCACCATCCGACTCAATCCCTCCTAATAGTTCATCTTCATCTATTAGATCATCAAAATCGTGTCGCACAACTGGAATCAGCGGCGGCATTACATTTTCTATTGCTTGAGGGGATATAGGCGGAGTGGGTGTCACCAGAACAGTCGGTTTGGGCTCAACAGCGACTTGTACTACCTGTTTTAACCGTATTGGGGCTTGTTCGACGGCAGCAGATCCACCGACTGCCTGTTGTTCTGAAGATATTTGTTCGCCTATTTTCATTATTTTATTGTTACTGTTTATATCCTTATCAAATGGTGTACCATCTGCAATATCAAGTGCACTTGTATTCAAAAGTAACTCATCATAGCCCAAAAGTTTCGAATGTGGGGCTCCGTTGCCTTTCGTTTTTGAATTTATGGTCAGCATATCATTTATAATTAACCAATTGTTTCCTGATTTCTGAATTACAAACGTACGCTGAAAGCTACGTTCTTTCCAGTACTGTGCGTTCACCTGCCGTTCCATAAATGTCCCAGAGATCGTAATAATGCAACTCTTCCGATCGTTGTGCATAACGTCCAAGCAAATTCCGTTACTATTATGCTTTGTTTCGGGCAAACAACCTAATGCACGCACCAATTGGAAGGAACTTTCCACCAACTTCATTTGGCGCGACATCGGCGACTGTAAGCGCAAAAGATTGCGATCATACATTCGATAAACGCTAACATCCGATAATACATCCGGCGACGTTGTCATTGAGAATATGACCCGCTTGTCATAGTACTGTGTCAGTTTGAGACGACACTGTATATTATCATACAAAGTGTAAAATGAGTTGACAAATTGCTTGGCAAGACTAACGATATTGGGTGTTAGCGAGAATGTTGGTTTGGGGTCCACGCACAGCGAGTCCGCCTCAATACCATCGATCATATGCACGTTTGGCAACAGTGAGTGTAGCTCTCTCAATTTTGATTTTGCTACGCGATTCCCGAACAGCCGTAGAGACTTTAGGCGTAAGTCCCGTACATATATAAGGTCCGATAACTTCTCAATGCGATTGTTTGTAAAATCAAGCTGTTGCAAGGTGGACGGTAACTTGGTAGCCATTGCGTCAAAAGCACGCAACGTTTCCAAAAAATTGTCACTGAGGTTGAGTTCGACCAACTCGGGAAACTCTAGCGACAAAAGTTGCAATACACGCTCCAGCACAGGGGTCACGCTGAGTGCAAGAAACTTCTCCCTAAGCTCGGCGGCTGCGTGAAAGCACGATAAATTCAATGTTTTGGTCTGAGCATTATAACGTCCATGCAGAGTAACTTTCAACGCATCCAGTAGTGAAGGCGAAAATATCGGCGACTTGACGTTAACTGGTAACCCAACAGCGACGTGGATGTCAAGGGGTTGGCAAGTATACAATACGGCAACTGCCGTTTTTAAACGCTTGAGTCGATTGGCCATGAGCGTGTTGTCGACAACAAATTGAACACAGTCGCCATCCTGTGTAGATGCTCGCTTGAAATTGTAGGGATTGACTGCTACTGGAACGAGCACGTAATTCAATGCCAACATTATTGCCTCGTTGCTGACACCACTACAATTTTTAATTGTTACCGTATACCAGCCGGTAACACTTGCGCCACTCTTTTTTTGGGCACTTTCACGTACATGAATTAGGTTGAGAACGTCCCTGAATTCGGCAGCCATCAGTGTTCGTTTGTCGCGCGTCTCCGACTTCACAATGACTTTATAACTTTCTGCTGAAGTGGCTTCGGGATACCGCATATTATTAATTGTGGCTAGCGGTTTCATGCGCATTCGACGCACGTTATCCACATTATTCTCATTGGGATATTTGGGGACTTTCATTTTTCTGCACAAATTGTTAGGTTAAACTATAATGCAATGCAATAAAAATTTACTGCGTATCACAATCTTCTCGCAAAATTTTTTACCGTTGCTTCCACCGTTTGACTTGACGTTTAACCATTCAGTGTTGGGTATTTCGGAAACTAACAGTATGAAGTTTTGCTGTCATTCACAATGGTGCATTTATTTTATCAGATAGAATGGGTTTCAAATTTTCTATTCCAGTTACTTGTAGCGAAGATATCTAAGAACAGTTTTCCTTTCTTATTCAACTACTAACTTTTACTGCACAATTTAATGCAGTTATTGTAAGTATTCAATAACTATTCAAATCAATTTTAATTCTAAAATTCAGGGTTATAATAATCAAATGAAAGAACAGAAATACAAAACAATCCCTCAATCGCAGAGCTAAGAATGTCAGAAGAGTATGAATTGTATTTTATTGTTGATACCTATATTTAACCCATTTTGAAATGAAAAATGTATTGAATTTCCAAATGAATTAATATTTTTAATTTCTAGATTTCGAATAAGAAAACTCTATAGAGTTTTACAATCTGGGGAGGTCATTCATAGGTAGGTGTTTATCAACATGTATGTATGTACATACATATGTATGTGTTTGTATAAATACAGGCGTGTATTTAAACGCAGACTTTTAATTATTATTGGCAATATTATACCGTCAATTATGGCAAAAACAACTTGGATCAACGGTAAACGAGCGGCTTGTCTGCCCACATAACATACCCACATACAATACAGACCATACAAAAAAAGGAAACCCGTCAACATTGTCAACACGGCGCCGCCGCCAGATTAGCCCACTTACAAATTTGTTTTTAGAAAGTGCATTGCACATTTCTATGTGTTTGTATGTAACCAAAAGCCTACCTTGTTCATTGTTGTACTGCAGTTGTTGTTGCTGTTGTGAGGGCAACTGCGGCTGATTATTCGTTTTCCACTGTTGCAGAATATTGGAGATATCATCGTGTGTTTTGTCTGCCAGAAAACTGCGAGTTGAATCAAACAAACAGATGCGGAAGTATTTTTAGGAACGCCGCTGCGACAGCAACAAAAAAAAATACATAAAACAAAGCACTCAAACTTACATGTATGAATCATCCTTTAACGCCTCATCAATGTCCAATATATCCATATCCTAAGTTTTAATCTTAAGCTCGGATAATTTGTGGTTATTATTGCTCACAGTTTGTGTGTCGCTTTTCGTTTATATTACATTTAATTTTCCAGGCATAGAGAAAATTCCTTTGCTATGATTTCGCAGGGCATACGCACGTATAGGCTTTTTTGTTTACCTATGCACACCTATACGCTTAACGAACAAAATTATGCAACGTTACGCGCATTTTTGTAGGATTACAAAATACACCAGTGCATTATATTATTCACTGTTTTTATAAATAAATAAGCCACACAGCACTCGGGCATTCTTTGGCGAAACAGCGAATAAGGCGAAATCTGTGATAAACAGCAGTGGTAAATGTGTGACGATTGGGTAGCACTTTTTCGAAACAGTGTGTACACATTAACCTGATACCGTAGTATAGCGCGAAAATAATCGTTTCAAAATTATTAAACTAAAAATGAAGCGTTAAATTATTAACAAAATATATTGTTGTGTCTTATAAAACTACACCTAGCCGAATATATATCTTAATAATAGTCACAGCGAGAAAATTAATAACTACATTTATTGAAAGTATCAGGCTAAACTTTTTTCCTACCCATATAGATTTAGTAGGTTTGAATAATTGTCTACAAAATACTTTCAATAACAAAATTAGTTTCAAATGCCGCTATTTTGTTTTCTAATAAAATGCAATGATTTTGAAGCGATACGTCGCTTTTACTTTGAGTTTTGGACGTGAAAAGGTATGAAACAGAAAAAAGCAGGAAACAATTTTGCTGTTTCGACACAATCAAATATATTTTGTTATCTAGTTTTATAATATATGTAAGTACTTTGTATAAAAATTCTATTCTGCGTAAACACGTACATGATCAATCACCATTGCACTATGTTTGCCCCACGTAGGTTCCCAAGTATCGCGGTGCTGCCAAAATGCCAAAGCCGCACGCGGTTCCCGATTCTTATAGGGTTTTACATCCCTTGGCAAAATGTTGTCGTCAAAGTTCAGAAAGCCACCGACAGTTACGCCAAAAATTATGAAACACTAAAAATTATATATAAAATAAAAATTACAGCCAATCTTTATCGTCCATCTGTGTAAATACGAACCTTTTCGTTAAAAAAAGGTAAACCATCGTACAACTCGCCATAGACCTCATCATCCACCATGAGCGTAATTTTGTCTCTGTTCCAAATCATCGTATAGTTGTGAAAATCATCGCCGTAATGCACATTGCTTAAACGTTCTTTTAGAAACTGCACGGCACGTCCATGATGCCAGACAATCATTCCGCCATATAAATGGTTTCCAGATATGTCCTCCTGCTGGATGCTTCTCAAGTGTGCGTTTCCCCGAGCGTAGGCGATTCGCAACTGCTTCGCATAATGCGACTCCGCATGCGTCGAAATGGGCTGTAGCATTATATCTAGAGATAAAATTAAATGTAAAACAGTTGGTTTACGAATATCTGATATTATGTGCCAGGAGTATTGTACCAATTTATTTATCATTCGATAAACAAACTTCATATTTTCTTAGCAATAACATTTTCAAATAGAGATGGCGAGAAAAATCGTAAAAAGACCTTTTGATTTTACTGAGCTACATTTACGGAGCGGTCGATTCTATATCTCAAATAAACAGTACAATTTCAAAACTATTTAGTTCTAATGCTGGTAATTTCAAAAATATACATATTTGTATCTAAAAACTATGTGTTCGCTGTATTTCATAACAAGAACATACATACATATGCATGTACAAGTATGTATGTATTTCTTCTATGATGCCTTCCTTAATTCCTATCTGCTTTCTATGACAACTGATCCATACCGAATCTGGGTGGTCGTAAACTACACACATACTCTTTTGTTTCTATGACAGCTATCTGATATAGTGCTCTGACGTTTGGATTCATCTCGTCATGTTGGTATTTTGAGTGCCTATAACAATTCCTTAAAGTTATATAATTATGTATGTCTGGAAACGAATTTAATAAACTTGAATACCCTCACCATGGCTTAGTCCAATTTGGAGACCATTTCTTCCCTATTTTATAGGCCCAGTTGACTACTCACATGGGAAAAGCCAATCACCCTTCGGAAGTTTGGCGCGCACAATGATTTTTCCATATTTAAAGCTGAACGAGTTGCGCGTGTGAAGTTGTGCAGAATAAACAGGTGGCTTAATGGTATAGAAACTGCCCTGCGATATGCTGCATTCCTGCTCTGGACTGTCTATGGCAGTGCAGCGGTCGCCAAGCTTGAAGCTACCCTCGGTAACTTCTGTAGCGATTGTTGGCACAATATGCAATTGTCCCTCCCTGACATAGGAATTTTTTTGCGCATCATCGAAGGCGACCAACTCCTCCTCGACATGGTACATGCGCTGTCGTATGTCGTGCTTCCAAGTCGTTCGGTTTAGCTCGGCCGTATTGAAAGTGTCCTCGAACAGGAGATCGCCCTGACAGACGCGCTGGCCCTGTCGAGCAATTGTCTGTGCCTGTTTGCATGGCTTTGTCTCCTGCTCGCCATTGAAATAGGCCTGGCATATGCCCTCATCTGGGGGGTGGGATATGCTTTGTGATTTGGTATCCCGCGTCGTCAACAACCGCGCATTGAGTATCACACGTGTTTCACTCTTCTCGTAGATTTCATCGTTGTACTGTACGAGCACAGAGATTTGAATTTTGTCATTGTTTTGCAGGCTAAATTTTTGTTTTGAGACCCAGTTACCCGACAAGGGCTCAGTAATATAATCCATTAGAGCTGGGCAACTCTCGTCTATTTGAAACAAGTAAAACACCCGTTGCATTCCGGGTTCGTCTATAAAATAAAGAATTCGACAACTGACTCAACATAACCAATAACATACTCTTCCGCACTTACCAGGTATTGATACTTCAAATCCACGTTCGTTTAGCATCTCAAAATCCACATTGGGTATTTTATAAGCCAGACATTTGTCATGGAACATCAATAGGCATAGAATAGCACAACCACTAAAATAGTGCAATTGCATGACGCAGCTTAATTGCATAAATTTATTCGGGGAAGTCAAACTGAGCACTTCAAGAGCTTGGAGACGTCTGTCGGTGCACAACCAAGTCGAGCTTCTGAGCTAAATAATCTTACCTTAGCGTTACATTATACATAATAATTCACGAGTAAATTGTTGTTCATGTCAGCTGTTGCTCTGTTGTTCATGGGGACAGAATAGAGCAATTCGCACTCGGAGAGTAATGAAGCTAATCTCAGTTGTTTTTGCTTACAATCTAAGGTTCATCATTAATAATACTCGTATTTAACAGGGCCGCTACAATCTGCCTTAACAAATCTTTAGAAAAATGTAAATCGCTTTCCAGACTATACAATTTTTATTTGAAGCTTCAGGGAAGATAGTTTTACAACTCTATTAGTAAGTTGAAGAAATTTCCGTCGCAACATGTCTTTATTTGTGTATTTCCAATAGCCAATTAATCTGATAATTACTTTTGAAAGAAGTCGCACTTAACTTGCCTTTTCAAACCTTTTACCGCATACATACATCTCTATAAGAATGATATAAAGAACGAAACATATCTAACTGCTAAACTCGGGGCTGTAGAGCAACTAACACTATAGTTGGAGCGTACGCAATCAAAAGCACCATAAATTCGCAAAGCTAATGTTTGTGGCGGTTTTGGCGCCCCATGCTTTTGGCGTCCTAAGCGGGTGCGTTATTTGCCTTACCCTTGTACGTTTCAGGATGTATATTATGAGCTTGGGGTCACTGATCTTTATTGTTTAAGATTATTCCGACTCCAAAGCTATGTACCTTATTCTGCGCTTCATCTTTTCAACAACATTGTGTTGTCTATATAACTCAGCTCTTGTTTGAGTAAACAGAAGAACAAAGTCAGTATCAGTTGAAAGCGCGCATAATGTAATTGATTCATTTCTGAACAATTTCCGATTTCGGACAAATTATGCGTAATCCAAATCTGGAAATTTGCCAAACTTGAAAAACTGATTTAATCGGTTCAAAGGGTGTCAGTGGTAAAAAATTGGGGCAAAGCTTTCAACTCAAGCGATCGAATTCGAAAATGGGAATAGACCAGATTAACTTTTTGTTGTTTGTATCTATGTTTGTATACTCACATTTCGATCTGAGGAATTTCCCAAGCCGCTCTGTACGATGAGGGAGAGAGAAAAAGCGAGCGAGATTAGTTAATGGGTGAGTACCTACATAGTTTTCAAGACTTCTACCGAGCATGCCTGATAAGTGCAAATGTACAAAAATAAACAACATAAAGCTTGAAGAGGGGCATCAAGAGTCGAGAACCGGTCTCATTCGGGCACGCTGCTCCAACGCACTACGCATCTGAGAAGCTGACGCTATTCGCCGAGTCCGCTCTTGTCATTCTGAGCAGTGTAAATTGGACTTTTATTTGAGGCGGACTGACAGCAGCTCGAAGATCAAATTGAAAAATGCAAGGGGAAGCAATGGTGATGATGCTGCTGGCGGCTTGCATCTGTCACAGTTGGTCCTATAAGGTGCCAAATGTGCGCGTAAAGCTGCTGGAAGATGGCTTTCGTGTAGCCATACCAGGTGAGCGTCATTTTATTGGCGAACAACGCAAGCAATTATCTGTAGCACGAACACCTAAACAGATGAGACCGGCGTCAAGAGTGTTGCCTTCAATGTGAATCGTAATCGCAACTTCACGTCATTCGCACAGGGCGAATTCAGCATGCAGGTGCGTTCTCCCAAAGATGGCCTATGGATGCACGATTTCCTGCACAACGAGCTGAGGGCACACGATACTCTCTATATTTGGACGAGTGTACAGCATGAGCGCGCAATATTCCGCGACATAAGCGAACCGAAGCAGGTATGCCAACTGAGTGGTTCTTCTATACTTGAGGGATGCTCGTTCAGCGTTGGGAAGCCATTGCCGGCCACGGACCAAACAGCAGAGACTGCGACGACACCGGTGACGACGTCAACAACAACAACATTGGCGCCTTGTGAGCCCAGCCTTACGGAAGTATCCCCGGTACGATCCACATCCATTTGTAAGGGTCAGCTTATCTTCGAGGAGCATTTCGAGCAGCTTAACGAGAGCCGTTGGCTGCATGAGGTGCGGGCTCCCCTAGACACCAATGATGCTGAATTCGTGCTCTATGATGGCAAGGCGAGCATACAGCATGGAAATTTGGTGATAAAACCCCGCCTTTGGTCCGACTATAGACCTGATCTGAAGGTTTCAAGCGCCAGCCTCGACTTGGCTGAACGCTGTTCAGGAACACACAACCGGCAAAAGGAGTGCGTGTTGCACACCAGCGGACCCATCATTATGCCGCCCGTGGTGGTGCCCCGCTTGTCCACCAAAGAGTCATTCGCTTTTAAGTACGGCCGTATTGAGATCCGTGCCAAGCTGCCAAAGGGCGATTGGCTCATGCCACGTAAGAATCTTAGTCACTCGTATAAAAAAGGCAATATATAATTCGTTTTAAATATTTACTCTTTTTTACAGTCCTGCTGCTGGAGCCTTTGATGGAGTGGTACGGCCAAACAGGCTATGAATCCGGGCAATTACGCATTGCATTTGCGCGTGGTAATACACAACTACGGCAGCCCCACGGTAAAATATTAGATGGGCGAATACTCTATGGTGGCGCAGTACTATCTACTGAGGCAGCTCAGCGCGAAGATTTTATGGTCAATCAGCGACGTAACGAACACTACGGCAATGAGTTTCATGTGTACGGTCTGGAGTGGAGCTCGGAGCACTTGCAGTTCACAGTGAATGGGCAGCCTTATGGCGAGCTGCTAAGCGGATTTGTAGAGTCCGATATTAATCCGAGATGGCGCAGAGGTGGACCTATGGCGCCCTTCGATCGACTAGTAGGTTGAAGAACCTGACAAGTTCACAGATTTTTCTCAATTTCGATTGCTTCCAGTTTTACATAACGCTCGGCATTTCTGTGGGCGGTTTCGGTGACTTTGTGGACAATTTGCGCACAGCTTCGTATGCCAAGCCATGGACTAACAAACACCCCCAGGCCCGACTACACTTTTGGCAAGAACAAAACAAATGGCTGCCCACTTGGGAACATCCTGAGCTCTTAGTTGATTATGTTCGTGTCTATGCCATTTAAATAAGAGGATGCATCAGAAAAGGAAAGGGAATATAAAAAGATCTCTCCTCTAATCTATTTATCTTAAGTGTTCCATGTAAGATCACATAATAAATTGAAAACTTATAATAATCTTAATGAAAATCCATTATGTGTATGTACTGTGCAATATTTAGCCGAACAACAAGAAATGCTTGTGCCATTATTCAAATAAATTAAAGAAATCACATATGTATAACACTTGGGGACTGGGATAGCTCAACGCGCTAGGATGAATCCCACAATATGAGTTCCTGGGCCTAGCCAGGACTTAGTATAGGGTGCAACATTTTTTTGGCCGATCATATCATTTGAGTAAAGTAAAAACATATTAAAAATATGGAAACATTTTAAATGAAATTTAAAATAATTGAAATGTGTTAATACACGTATAGTACAAAACGTATTTTATTCTCAAAGATAATAGGAACGATAAACTAAAATTATAATTGGATAAATTAAAATTATAATTGTACCATAATACTTACTTATTATGTACATATATTTATCAGCCAACATTGTTATCTCTGCCCAATCTCTAATTTAAATAAGTAATTTAATATCCTTTAAAATAAATTAATTTTTATTTTTTATTATTTAAATACAAAATATTACAGCAATAAAAGTAATAGGAAATATTCATTTGTACTGCCGTTTTTTTTTTCAGTGTAGGCAAGGGCGTACGAAGCTTTGGAGATGTCTTTTTATTTTCAAATTGGACTGATAACTGTGCCAAACTTTGCAAAGTCCAAAAAAACTTCAACAAATCCAACGCAGATCCATCTTAAGGCGAAATAGTGCGTCATAATAATGAACGCGTGGTCGACTTTATATGGAAACAATTTTTGCGTACGCCCTTGACTGTACATAAGCATATGTCTCAACTTATGTATGTATTGAATTTTTTGGATTTAATTAAACTTATTTACTATATTATTTAGTTTTTTTCAATTTGTTTCTTGTTTTGTTGAAGTGGGTATAGGGTATTTAAGAACTGAACCCGCTCGACTATAACTTTCCTTTCTTGTTATAGCCTGTACCCAAAGGGTAAAAGGCTATACTAGTTTTGTGCGAATGTACTTGTATGTAACACACAGAAGGAGGCGTGGCAGACCCCACAAAGTACATATATATATTATTGTTCAGGATGACAAGACAAGTCAATATAGCCATGTCCGTCTGTCTGTCCGTCTGTCTGAGCGCAAGTGCTAGAATACCAACCAAACTTGGTATTGAGGTTCCCCTAAGTCCAATTCGTGTTTTTTTATAACTTTCGTAATCCTTGGAATTTTGTGCTTTCGTGTTTATGTGTCCGTATGTCAAGTTTCATCATGATAGGTCCATTCTGAAGAAAGTTATAGCTATAAATAGAATCGCTGCCCATGCTCTGCGTGTAGCGCTGCCCGCAGCGCTCCTGTAGCGTTCTCTCTTGTTTTTTCTTCGTTTCTTGAAAAAAAAAATTTTCAATTATACAATACAAGAACAACTTAATGATAATACTTACTCAAATTTGTCTAGACTTTTAGGCTGTGCAATAATTGAGGGAACACATTCAGTACAATTTCGTCGTCAGATGTGATAAGTCGCAGGCATTGGTAATACTCAGTAACAATTTTCTATAATTAATGAATTAGATTTATGTAAGTTGCGAAGTATTTATAGAATATTCTTCATTAAGGTTATCTTATTGACGGCCTCATATGGATTGTTATAAAAGAAAGTAGTACTTGTACGTATGGACATATGTAAACATGCTATACACTTGCTGATTTATTCATGTGTATTATCTGGCTTTGTTCAAGATTATTATTCAACAAATTAAAATAATGGCTGGAAACGAAAAGTTTTTTTTCGTTTTTTTATTGTACATTGCTCATGCGAGTTGTAACGTTACGATTCGCAGGGATGGTGAAAATATTACGGTTTCATTACCAGGTAAGTTGTTCCTTAATTCTGCGCATATCAAAAATGAATCGGTTTTATATCCTACATAGCAAAGAAAGGCATGGACTCAGTTTTTTATACAATATCTAAAAATAATGAGTGTCCAGGCCAACAAGAATATGTTTTGAAAACTGGAGATGGATGGTTTAACGCCACCGTGGAAATGGAGGATTTAGAAATGAACGACATTGTTAGTGTTTCTGCAACTGTGGGCAGTAGTCGGGGAAATATGTTAACGATTTCCGAGTGGAAAATGAATGCCTTTATGCAGTTAGAGCTCCAGGGTACTGATATCATCCCTCAAATACCTTTGCCGAACAATAAGGATATAAATAGTGGCGACTTAGAAAAATGTATGTCAGAATTATCATCAATAAGATCGAACGATCGCGAGAAACACTGCGTTCCGACGGTCACAAAAATTATAAGATCAGAGCACCCAAACCACAATGTAAATTGCAGCGGCCGTAAAATTTTTGAGGCTAATTATACAAATACAAAACAAATTGAAGAACATTTTAAACCTGAAATACGCGTGCGAGTAGGTGCGGTAGACGAGGAGTTCGTTGTTTTTGGCAAACGAGAGAATAGTTATATAGATCAAAACGGCATTTTACATTTGGTTGCCACTTGGAGTAACTATTCAAGCATTGTGGACCTGGGTAAATCTTGTACGGCACTCAGGAATAATCGTCGCAATAGAGAGTGCACAATTTTACATCAGCCCCGTAGCAGTGTCCCGGCATTAGACTCTGCCCTGCTTCAAGGTAAGGACCACTTCATCTTCAAGTATGGTCGCGTTAAGATACGTGCAAAGATGCCCATAGGGGATTGGCTAGCACCAAGTAAGTGTGTTTATCAATAGCAAGATATGCAACCGAAATTTTACCCAAATTTTATAATGCTGTTTCAGTTCTATGGTTAGTGCCAAAAAGTACGGAGCCCGCGCAGACAAGTCCGGATCATATCAAAATAGCATTTACACGCGGCAATACCTTGTTGCAGGACAGGGCTTCTAACTTTATCGATGGACGAGTACTATTTGGCGGCGTTGAGATTGCGCGGCCCGTTCATCCGTATAATCCACAAGTTCAATTTTCCACGGACGAACACTTCGGAAAGGACTTTCACGATTTTGAGATCATTTGGCGGGAGGACAAGATCATTTACAAATTTGACGGAATACGGTTCGGTCACATAGAGAGCACTGAAGTTTTGAAAACATTTGAGGACGGGGTAATAAAAATCAGATGCTACATAACCCTTTTTATACTCTGTACCGTAATGATAGAAAAGTACATTCGGTTTGTCCAAAATGAAATGCAACAGACAGAAGGCGTGGCAGAACACACAATGTTTATTTACGATAAGAGGAGTCTATTTAGCGCTGTCCCTCCGTATGAACACCTATGTCAGAAAATGTTAGAGCTTTTTTAAACAGATGCGTTATTTGTCTACGTAGTACAAGCCTTTTTTGTAATATGCACCCCAATCCATCCTATAGGGAATGTTCCAAAACTCCGTTAGTATAAACACCTACATCACACTAATACCTTATATATACACGATTGAGTTTGTATGTCCGTGTGGCAAGTTTCATCTTGATAGGTGAATTTTAAAGTTATAGCTATAAGTGTAATCTCAGCCCAAACCCTGCCCGCAGCTGTTGTTGCCAAGGGCGTAGGGAGCTTTTAACAAAGGAGGGGGCCGAATATTTAAAATTTTTGATTAAATAATGCACGATGCATTTAAAAAATAACATGCACATAATCAATGAAAAAACTTCAACAATTCCAACTCAGATCCATTTTAAGACGAAATAGTGCGTCATAATAATGAACATGTGAACTTTATGCCTACGCCCTTGGTCGTTGCGGTTGCTGCTTTGGCTCAACTCTGTACTGGATACTCACAAATAGCATGGACACACATAGAGACAATTCCAATGTTAGAGTAAATGTGCAGGCATACACCCTTTACGTGAGATCCAATACCCAAGAACGTATAATCGAAAAAAATATATATATTAAAATTTCGGTACTTTTTAAAAAATTATCTTATTTTTTTAAAGTTCCTTATTTCTATATCATTCTACACATAGGTACAGAGTATTTTAAAGTCAGGGCACCCGACTTTAGCTTTCCACTTGTCTTTAATTTTATAATTTCATTAAGTACTTTTTTTAAACTGGTCTAATTATTCTATAAAATTCAATGGCGCTATACTTATACTTTAACTGCTACTTATCCATAATTTCTATTAGGCGTACCTTATGGTTGGCTTAACAGCAGGAGGAAAGCGTAACTTCAATGAAGATGTTGTGCATCCTGAACACAAGAAACACATTTACAATAACTCTGATGCGCATGCAAATGAAATATTCAAATCCAATAAGAACAAATTTGTTCACACATGGAAGCACCCAGAACTTGAGATCGCGTACATCCACGTGTATTCTACGGATAATCAAGATGAGTAAATTGACCTCAAGGTGAACATATGTATGTACATATGCGCGTTCTGCCGTGCATATCTGTATTTTCTACGGTTTGATTCATATTATAACTTTTTTAAATTGAACAATATAAATTTTATGGAATTTGTTTGTTTATCTATGTGTAATCAATTGGTACTCGGTTTCCTGAACGCGAGAGTTTGTCTTTAATGCCTTTTTATACCCTGTACCCGTAGGGTAAAAAGGGTATATTAGGTTTGTGTAAAGTATGTAACATGCAGAAGGAAGCATCTCCGACCCCATAAAGTATATATATTCTGAATCAGCATGACGAGAGAAATCGATCTAGACATGTCCGACATGGTGAAGTCGACATGGATGAACGCAAGGATCTCAGAAACTATAAGATCTAGAATAACCAAAGTTGGCATCCACATTCTCCTAGGTCCGAGAAAGGACGAGTTTATTTTATTTTTTGGAATTCCCCCCCCCCCCCCCCCCTTCCCCCGCTACAGAATTTCGTCAATAGCGTCCACATTTGAAATGCTACCTAAACCAAACTTTGCACACATAATTTATATGTAATTATCTACTGTTTAATTTTTATCCAATTCGGTCAATTCTAAGAAATGTTATTAGCGAAACAAATTCTCTACAGTACAACCCCCCCCCCCCCCCCCCCAACAAGTTCGCTCTTCTTCCTCTTTTTGGGCGCATATAACTCAGTGACGGAAGTTTACTTGGGTACAGGGTATTACACTGTCGGGCTTGCTCGACTGTAGCGTTCTCTCTTGTTTATATTAAATGATATTATAACAATCAACCTATAACTTTTAAATTTATGTAATAAATTTTTTTATACCCTGTACCCGTAGGGTAAAAAGGGTATATTAGGTTTGTGCAAAGTATGTAACATATAGAAGGAAGCATCTCCGACCCCATAAAGTATATATATTCTTGATCAGCATGACGAGAGAAATCGATCTAGACATGTCCGTCCGTCTGTCCGTCTGTCCGTCCGTCTGGATGAACGCGAGGATCTCAGAAACTATAAAAGCTAGAATAACCAAAGTTGGCATCCAGATTCTCCTAGGTCCGAGTAAGGACGAGTTTATGTTTTTTTTTTTTAATTTTCCCCCCCTTCCCCCGCTATAGAGAGAGAACGCTACAGTCGAGCAAGCCCGACAGTGTAATACCCTGTACCCAGGTAAACTTCCGTCACTGAGTTATATGCGCCCATAGCAGCAGCAAAAAGAGGAAGAAGAAGAGCGAACTTGTTGCTGCAGTTTGGGGAGGTTGTACTGGCGAGAATTTGTTTCGCTAATAACTTTTCTTAGAATTGACCGAATTGAATAAAATTTTGAACAACAGTAGATATTTATTTATAAATTATGTGTGCAAAGTTTGGTTTAGGTAGCATTTGAAATGTGGACGCTATTGACGAAATTCTGTAGCGGGGGAAGGGGGGGAAAATTCCAAAAAATAAAATAAACTCGTCCTTTCTCGGACCTAGGAGAATCTGGATGCCAACTTTGGTTATTCTAGCTTTTATAGTTTCTGAGATCCTCGCGTTCATCCAGACGGACAGACGGACGGACGGACGGACATGTCTAGATCGATTTCTCTCGTCATGCTGATTCAGAATATATATACTTTATGGGGTCGGAGATGCTTCCTTCTGCATGTTACATACTTTGCGCAAACCTAATATACCCTTTTTACCCTACGGGTACAGGGTATAAAAATCCATTAAACGCTTGCTAAATCGTTTATAAAGATATACGCAAATTCGCATTCAACGTCGTGCCAACATTTTAAAGCAAACCAATAAATACTTGTTCCTGCAGGAGCAGGCAAATAAGTACGTACATATAGTGTATCGTATGTACATACATTATCTATGTACATACATTTTATATGTACATACATTCTATATGTACTTATGAAGATGTGTACATATGAATAGCTATCTCAACATTCGGTCCCATTAAATAATAAAACCCATATGTCATATGGACGTACATTTAGATGAACCTTGATTATTTATTTATTAATAATATATACTACAAGTATAAGCATGATAATTATTTTAGTAGTTCCTGTTCTGAATTTCTAAAATGTCTTGCCATTGTTCTTTTTGGAGCCATTGTTTCTTGAGTTTTGTGTTGATTTTTTTTTACGTTTGTCAGAGGACCAGTCTACATCATCCTCGTCATCGGTGCCGCCAGTATTGCCGCCGGACTGCAAATAGGTGGATGATGAGCTGGAACTGGCGCTGGTGCCCTCCTTTGTAGCTAATCGACGGCTGGCAATGCGAGAGGAAATGCGGCCCATACCCATGCATTTTTCAAGATGCGGGGCAAAGCGAGCTGCTGCCACTAGTCTATCACAGTTTGGGCATGTGCAGTCCATAGGTTTTTTAGCTGTGGATATTCCAAAAATGTCCAAGTTGGGCATTTCACAAATGCGATACGTGGACTCCGCGTTGTCCTCGACCACTCCGTCTAGGGCCGATAAGTTGCCGGTTTTGCGCAAATGGTGCGTCTCAATGAAAATGCCAGCAACAGCATCGTCGAGCAACGTCTGATACAAATAGTTGGCAGCATCGTCCAGAGTCTTGGGATCTTTAATCAGTTCCCGAAAATTGTTTACGATTGCAGCGGCGGTTGGAAAAGCAGGATTTTGGGTCGCCGGCGGCATCTGTGCAGACGAGGCAAGCGGAACTGAGCCCAAAGGATTTGGATTCGCAGCCATGCTGCCGCCAAGAATTTATAAATTTGTCTCACAGCCGGCTGGTAAAAAATTAAACTACCTTAAAAGAGAGATGAAAATCAACGATGAACAGAATACATCTAATTGATATCGATGTTTTTAAACTCACGTTGCGTTCTCGCATAATCGATATTTGGGTGCAAGCTATCGATAGGCCTAATAGTATTGGTAAGGGCTTTAATTGACAACAGTAACAAATTACCGCGGAAAGGACAGCAAAAAATACGATGTTGTTGCTTAAAAAGGAACATATCTACAAACTGCTCGTAGACAAACTTTACGACAAATGCCAGCGGATACAAGCAGAAAATGAACGCTCTGTTATGAGGTACGCATTTGGATAATTATGTTCTCACATTACTCCAACTCTTTTACTTGTAACATATTTAGGATAAATACTCTTAAGAAAATAATACGTCGCCGTACATATGACGTAGACTTGTTAAAGAGAAGGTTGGACAAGCATGGTGATAGCTGGCGATCAGTGCCAATGGCGGCTCCACATTCCAAAGGAAAACTCGAAAAACACAAACGAGTACCCAAGGCAAAAGGCAAACAGGCGGCTGGACTGGGTGAGACTGCTGGGGCGACCATTGGATCCAAGCCCAGAAAGCAGCGTGTGAAAAAACAAACTACTGAAATAACAACACCGACAGTTACACTTACGGCAGCATCACAGACACAACAATGTCACGGAACTTGAACTTAAATAATTCATTACACTTATCGTATTTTATAATAGTATATTAATACAGTTTTTAAGATTTCGTAGTCTAAAACAAAGAAATTCAACGCGCATGGCTATCGTAAAAGCAGGTGTGAGTTGGTGTTGGTGGAATTTTACTCAGCTTGTCGCAGACGTGCCAAGCGTTGTGTGAGCTCATCCTGTTCCTGCGAAACCTGCGTTGAAGCGCCAATTGTTGTACTTTGCACACCACTGGGCAGCTCCATGTTCAGTTCGAGGCCTGCCTCATCGGCGACTTGCTGCAACAGATTGTCTACATCGCCCTGTGGAACCGATGTAGTCACTGTGTCGGACATAGTGCCTTCCATAACGGAGCTTTGAACATCCAAATCTTCAAATTGTGATTCAAATTTCTCCATGAGTGATGAGATTTTCTCCAGATTCATGCCTTTCATGGCAGCATCCATTGCTTTCACCACACCGGCCATAGAGCTGGTGACTTTGCGTGTAGTCAGAGCCGATTGCACGCGACTAGCTACCGCATCGACACGGGCACTCATCCGCAAATAATTAACAGCTTGGTTCTTTTGGCGAATGGCATTCTCAGCATGAATGCGAGCCACATCCATGTTGCCTTTCTGTATTGCTTTCTTGGCTTTGGCTTTTTCCAGTTTCTCCTCTTTTTCACATTTTTTTGAATTTCGCTCTAGCTCCTTGACTGCGAATTTCAGATTAAAGAGATGCTCTGTTTGGGTGGGGAATATGCGTTTTAAATTACTGTTCATTGTGCTATTAGTGTTGACGGTGTCGTCATCGTCACCGTTCAGTACTCACTTTCCATGGATGATGTAGACATGTCGTTACCCAGTTTGAAGCTTTTATATTAAAATAGTGGACAACAAATTATTGGCAGTCGATTCAACTGAAATTTGGTCAGTTTATTAAGTGTGATGTTAAAAGGGGAATATTTATTTGCTATGAATCACTCTTGTTTGTAGCCCAGCTGTTTTGGATGTGTGTGTGATAGCACACCGATAAGGCAACAATCGATTTTTTTGTAGTTGATACACAAAGATGGCAGCACTGTTAGGCAAAATTTGAATAAGAAGCGCGCGTGATTGTTCTGTATTTTTGAACGTTGTTTTACATAAGGTGAATTGTCTGCGTAAAATTGTAACCAAAATTTGTGCGGTTTTATAAAGCTTCCTAGCCATGCATTAACAGACATAAGATATACTATTCATTTACGTCGAATCCATATTAATATAAATTTATGGTAAGTACAGTATGTACTACAAGTACATACAAGTATGTATAGTACAAGTATGTGCCAATATTGTTTTGCTTGAATTGCTTCCATTGCAGAGCTTCAACAGCGTCAATATATTGTGAAAATAAGTGATAATAATTAAGAATAAACATAATAAGAATAGCAATTTGAATAAGAAAATTATACATATATGTACATAACAATCGTTAAACATTTATCTAAAGAATTTTATAGCCCCTTTATAACAATAAGTAGACAGTTCTTTTCTACAAAAGTATGAAACGCATTAGGATTGAGTCGGTTCAGAAGCAATTCATTCTTCTCTTCTATATCTTCGTGGTTTAAGCAAAGAACCCAACTTTTGTTTTCCACTCAATTAATAAAAACACCGACTATAAATCTTCAGTTATAGGATTATCGCAGGACAGTCCTTGGTGCTGTTTTCCGACGAAATTACAGTATAAAAATTACATATCATGAAGAAACTTGGCATACGGACACATAATCACTAACAGGAGTTATTTGCCATATTAGATTAAAAAATGCCAAGAATTACGGGATTATTAAAAAAAACTAGAATTGCGGGCGAGTGGGAGGAAGTACCTGTCCCTAGGTCTATAGAATCTGAGATATTTGTATAGATATAGGAGATATAAACAAACTTGCACAGCGTACACACATAAGGCATCTTTGTGTGCCTCTAGCTCTTATAGTCTCTGAGATCCAGGTGTTTATACGGACGGACAGACAGACAGACATCGTGGGGTCTGCCATGCCTCCTACTGCCTGTTTTTCATTTTTCACCTCCCGCAAACCTAATATACTTTTGCACATTTCATGTAGAGAGTATACAAATTCTGATGATCAAGCACACTTATTAAATAACATTTAATTTGCATTCTTAAATTCCATTACAATTTTCTGTGAATAGGCGATGGCTGTCTACAATTATAACGCTGCAAACATAATTTGAGATTGCATCGACATTTGTCTTAGCACTTAGATTGTCTGCAGCAAGCAGTGAAGTTTCTCTGACATTATCAAAAATGCATCAAATTTTCTTCAAATTTTTTTTTTTTGACACTAACACTATTTAACTATCCTTGTGACGGGAGCAACACCTAAAATCAAGGAGCAGTAGTCGTTTTTTTTTTTTATCACGCGCCAAACTCGACGCCACGTAACACTTCCTGTCGGGCCATGAGTTGAGTCACAGACACGGCAGACGCCAAAGCTAACGGCAACCTAGAAGATTAAATCAGCGTAAAGTGCAAACACTGTGTCAAGTGTAGGCGAGCGAACATCAGACTGCCGGAAGGCATACGCCAGTCATAGATGGCTCCCCTTCTGATGTCCCGACATGCAGCCCCAAAGCAAGCTGACACAAAAACATGGAGAGCGCACAAAAAACGGATAAATGTCAATCAATTTAGTCTGCAACGCGATATGCAGCCAAAGTTGCAGGTCAAAATTGAAGGTGATTTTGTGGCCGCTTTAGTCGTATCCACTTAGTTGTTACGTATACGCGGCATGTGACCCTAAATGCAATAGCGTTCGACTTTTGCGCACAAAATTTGCTGGGTCTGCTCGAAGCGAGTCATATGACAGATTTCATATTAACAGAGCTTTGATGTTTCGTTGCCCAGCTTTTACAGTTTCAACAACGGCCAGATTGAGTGGAAGATCCAGATCTTGAAAACTAAAACTTTAGGGTTAACGTTTGATGGAAAATAAATAAGAAATACAGAAGGAATACCAAGTCTTAGGTATGTACGAATATATGATTAGAATGACGGAACGCATCGATATGCGATATTCTGTCTTTTTTAATAACTAATTCCTCCTTAGTTTTTCAAGATACAGATATCATTTTAAAGAAGTGCTGTAACGAAAGTTTTTGAATTCGAATGGGATTTTCAGATGGTTGTCACCCTTACAATAGTTATTTATACGTGGAATAAGTAAAAAAAAATGCTATTAAAGGATATATGGTGGTAGGGTACAGGATACATAGCTTATCCATTTCCTATTTTAAATACTGCTTGTGCTTGTTATACAAATATAGCACCAGTTTAGTTAAAGTAAAAAATTGTATACTATGTTTTTAATGGGAATCCCTTACTGTATGAGCGGAAAGACAATTGGAAACAATTAAAGCTATTTTGTGTTTTAATAATTTAAAATAATAAACACATTATTTTGAAAATGATAAATCTCAACTCATCTCAGGCCCAATTAAATTTCTTGAGCATTACAATTTTCTAAAAATGTAATTACTGAGCATTTACTGCGAATATAGGTAATTTTAGGCACTTCATAAATGGTTTCATACATATGTATGTATGTGTAAGCGACTTTGTTGTCCTGCTTCCTGCTGATTATCTATCCTTGTTTCCTCTTAACGCGTGTTAAATAGTTGCATGCTACATTTATATGCATTCATACATACTGCATAAAAGAGTGTAAAAACTGTTCGAAATAGTTAAGTGTTTTTGCATTTCGTTAATTTTCTTCGCTGCTAATGCTATTCAGCTTTTTCAAGCAGCCTCTGATCCATCTAGCCTCGGCCATGTTTACAGACATTTTGCAAGTTGCTGTTGCTGTTTTTGATATGCAACTTAATTACTGAGCGTTCGTTTTGTTTACCGTTTTCCGCGCAGCATTTGTGTAAATAAACAGTAATAATTAAAGTTTACAGAGATGTTTTCGTTTGTACTATCTCAAAACTTCCTACATAGGTCGCATGTCGGGTTGTGCTAAACACAACAAAAAGCCGTTTCAGAGAAATTGTAAATTTTCGAAGAGCCAAAACGACAACGGGGATTAAGTTTTTGCCAAGCTCAGAAGTCATTTCTATTCTTTCCATTTTTTTAATGCAGCTGTATTATTTTTTCTTTGTTTTTTTAATTAAAAAATTTATTCATTACTAAGTACTCCTTAGCAGAATTAAAAAAAAACATATTATTTTTGTTTTTCCCTTTAGTGTTCGGGCCCATTCTCATTTAAATCTTTAAAGAAAATCAGTTTCACAGTTATACTTGTATTTCTTCTATATTTACGACTGAGCTATGTAACAGAGCCACTTCACATAATTAAGGTAATCTATATACTATACTATATATACCTATTATATTACGTTTATTATTGAAGTATATATCAAACGCCTCTGAACAGTTTGAACAATTTGGCTTTTTTTGCACAAATAAATCACTGTCATATAAATCTATATTTCGACAATTTAAATTCATACCCTCATTCACTTCATTTTCATGCTTGACGCTATTATATGTAGTTAACAAATCACAATTAGCCGACGATTAGAATTCTGAGCCAAACTTAGTATAGCCAACATGACGTTAAGCCACATCCGGCCCAGTTCGGTTTAGTTTTGTTCTATTCAGTTTTGTGATATTTTGTTATGTAACGCTTGGCCCACTGTCGCCCACTGGCCGTTGACTTGCACAGTTGTGAGGCCCGGAGCGCAACACTGCACGACATAGTTCCATTAAAGTTTTGACGATAACGCGTGAAACTTTGCGCAATTTGCATCCTGCTGTGCCATCGCGCCATAAGTTAGGCGCTGCACTAATCAAGCGTTACATACCACAAGAGTCTGGCCTAGGGATGGAGCTAGGGGTTGGGCATTTATTAATAAAGCAGCGAAACTTTAAATAAGCTCACAAGGCTGGCCCGGTTTTAAGTGTTGTCGGATAATTGCGCATACGCCGCGTGCGCCACCAAACGACTGCAGTTTATTTTGGATTTACGTTGTGTGCTTGTTAGCCTCTATGGCTGGGCAAAGACTTAAGCCGCAACAACTGCAGCGTCGCAGCTGTTTTGTGTTGGTATTAGTATTGTTATTATTATTACAACAGCAACCGCACCACTGCATGCCACACATGTCGTCCTGCCAAGCCCCACTCCAACCGCTCTTGCCTCTTTGCCAACGGCAACTGTTGCGGCTTGGTGCACTTTGTTGCGGCTGCCAGACAAGTTGACTTGTAAAAAATTTGCGCCTTGTGCCGCTTGCGGGCTTGTGGCGAGTTCCTTATACATGTATTTCTTCTGCTGCTGCATACTCTTCTTCTTTGGCTTCTTCGTCGACACTATCAATCTTTCCTTTGGGCCAAGTTTCATTATGAACGCTGTTCACAGCCTGTGCGAGAATGTTGGCCGACTGCCAACTCACGTTATCGTAAAATGCAATTTAATAGCGCTTTCCTGCACCTTTGGCCAGTCGCTCGAATGACTTTTGTGACACCTGCTCGCTGTTGCTTTGACTTTTGCATCGCTTTGCATATGTCAAGACCCGACCCGGCCCAGTCAACCAATACGCACACACTAGCATCCGCTTTCACGACGTTCGGCACTTTTCCAATGTCTATTTCGGTAAAGGGGCAACGAATTTTTGCCAAGTTCGCTGAAATTGGCCGCGCCGTGTGCATCGCAGCCACATTCACATTCACATCCACTGCCGCAGTCGCAGCGACAACAAGCCGCAAAACAAGCGACTAAAAGAAAAGTGCTGAGCAAAAGTTGTAAGACAACAGGCCACGTCGTCGTCCTTGTCTCCTTCCTCGGCAGGACGAAAAGTTTGTCGGCTCGAGCTGCATTACATGTGGTTACTTGGTATCGACAGTAGTTCCCAACACATGCAGACGTTGTTGCTGTTGTTGTTGCTGTTCATGATGCTGTTTTTTTTTTGTTTTTTTTTTTCAGACAAAGTTGTAGTTGGCAAAAGTTTGCCATAAGACCAACGGCCATACCCAATTGCGGCGACAGCAGTTAATGGGAACTGTTGCATGCCCTGCAGACTTCGCTTTTGAAAGGAATGCATTATACTTAAGTTAATACTATGATTATCGTAGGGTGATAACTGAAGTGAAAACTATGCTGAGATACTATATGTTGCCTTAAATTTTACATACTTAACAATTTGTGAAGATAATTTCTCGCATTTTAAAAATATACTATAATAAATTATATAACTGAATAGCTAGTAACATTGTAAGTTTGATTCAAAACTTTATTCAAACTTTCATTGTCACAAATCTTTTTAATTTTCTTTTAATCAGTTTAGTAATTTATAGTGTAAAGATTCGATTTTCGAGAGTCTATGATCCTAAGCTACTTAGGGCGGACATTTAAAAAACTAAATAAATCGCTAAAAATGAAAAATTTACAACTTTTTACAACACTACAGCATAAATTGAAAAAGTCGTTAAATATTTGCAACTAAGGCCATTTAAAGTTCTCTATTATTTATGCCAAAACCCTCCAAACCCGACGTTGACTGTGGGAAATTAGCTAATAACTTTGCCATACGTACAGCATAATAATAATGCATGATAAAAGTGAAATATTTGATGAGTTAATATATAATATTAAATATAAAAATAGTTACAACAATAAGTCTGAAGCAACCACCAGACACAACTATTTATTGGTTGAGATATTAGTAAAATGATTTTTGTTTTCTTTTTGTTTAAAGAAATAAATAAAAGAGCTAATATTATATACGAAAAGTACAACTAACAGAAAAGTAATATTTTTTGAGAAAAAATGTTTGTTTTTTATTCTGGATCGAAAAGGATTATATTTTCTATCGTAGGTTTTTTGTTTTTTTTTTAAGCTTTTCGCCTTAGTGAAGTAATTTTTTAGTCTAAATGAACTATGATGGCAATATGCCGTATGTCTTAATGTAACCAGTGTTTTGCCTAAGAGTAAACTTTTCTAATAACCTAAGATACTTGCAAGCACACACAGACACACACACACATCCACACACCCGAACACAGAGATTCTGCGCCAAAGCCCAAGAAAGCAACATGAAAGAGTCCAAAGAAAAATATGTGCAGCACAACTCAATGCACAAGCATATCAAATTGACGTGTTATTTCGCAAAACTTTCAAACCAAACAGAGAGCATTAATTTTTCAAAAGCAAATTTGCACACACAACACATTCAGAAATACATACCACACATACGGAGGCCAATATGTATGTATAGACAGACTAGGGCTGCTCATACATACTTGTACATACATATGTATGTATATATGGAATATGTATATTTAGATGGATAGATACACACGTGATATATTATTTTACATTACGGACAAATTGAAAAACTACACGAGCCAGCAAAATAAAAATGAAAGAAATGTGAAATTCGCTTACCCGGCTAAATGTAAATAAAGGTGGAGTGCGGGAGCGGGGTAGGCGGTACTTAACTGCTTACGCATGGCCAAGTCCAGTGCAGTACAGTTATGGCAGCTGTAAAAAAGTATGTTTTTTATAGTTAGTATATATGTGTGTACTTTATATAATATAGATAGAAATTTATGAATCAATTTTAGTGCAGCCATAAAAAATATGCTGCAATTTTTTGCAATAACGCGCGTTGAAATTGAAATGAGAGACAGCACTAAAAACAAAATGTTAAATTGATTGATTGAGCGCGCTTGATTGATTGGTCGCCGCACTCAAAATGTAAACTGTTAATAATATTAGTTGGGTCAAAGCATTGCCTAAATGGCTTTTAATACGATACATAAAACGCATGGACCAGAAAAAATATATGACAAGTATGCAGAATATAAATTCAGTTGCACACTCTGGGGCTCCCATTACAATTCGCCCCCAGAACTCTTCCAAATATGTGACAGTCTTGGCATTATTCGAAATCGTAGCACTATTGCACAACACCTGCCCAAACTTTCGGGCTTCGCACTTAACAAGTTGTTAGTTCGAAATATGGTGCAAATAGACTGGCTGCTTTGGCAATTAGACAACAACTAATAAGCAAGAAAACAACAAGCCAAGTTTGCAAAATTTAATGGAAGCAATTAAGCCACTGTAAGTGCAGTGATACGATTTTATGTGCGGAGACTATTTAGCAAGAAATTACAATGTGCAAAAGTTATACAATCAGGATTTGAGTACACACAATAATTGCAGTAATAAGAAAACTGATGCAATGGATTCGTTTTATTTTGAACAAAATAGGGAATTAAGTGTCCATACTTATTAAAGCAACAGTTTTAGGGTTACTGATATGAGTGATAGCCTTTTATCGAACAAAATCAGCACATATCACTAATATTTAAAATGCTCGCATTTAACCAGATACAAAAATTATTTGCAGCTTTTTTGTTGTTTCTTTCCATTTAATCCTTGGACCTGATTTCTTACACTAGGTGTAATTTGTGTAATCAATCCGGGAAAATAACTTGCAGAAAAATACAGGCACCTTCAAAAATTGTATAATTTTTAAATAAATATAAATACATACATATACTAAGCGTTCAGATTTATTTGGATATGCAAGGAAAGGTTGAAAAAATTTCGTTATCACGTCATCTGACGTTTATAAATTGCTTTAAAACAAGCTGGAAATTCAGAGCGTAGTCGTTGATACTGAACTAAATTCCAAAGTGAAATGTGAAAATAAGCAACCAAAAAATCATTGTCATCTACTGTCATGCTAATTTTTCGTAGGCCCCATTAAATTCAATTTTAGCCTAAAGGAAAATTCCATAGAAGTTGCAGAACTCTATCAAGCTGGCGTACATATACGAATTATCGTCTCAAGAAGAAAAGTAAGCTGGAGTGGGTTACAAAACAGAGTTGTTCTTTGTAATGCCAATTGTATATTTCAGAATATATCCACGATGGTGGTGCGGTGGTGTAGCCGGAGCTCTAGCCCAATTTTTCACAGCGCCCTTCGACCTAGTTGAGTCACGCATGATGGCCGTTAAAAAAGATAAAACAATGATGCAAACCTTGCAACATGCAGTCAAACACCACGGTAAGCACTTTTTAGAGGACGGCATGGTTTGAACATTTTCTGAATTTCAATCCTAAAAGGTTATTTCTCACTTTACGACGGCCTATCGGCACAGCTGTTGCGCCAACTAAGCTACACTTCCGTACGTTTCCATCTGTATGAGACCGGCAAGCGTTATGTGGATGAATACAATTTTCTACACAAAATGTTCATAGCGAGCATAGCGGGCTTAGTTGCAGGCGCCGTAGGGATACCCTCGGAAATGGTCAATACCCGCATGCACATGGATCGTATGCTTCCACATGAGGATAGGCGGCGTTACAAGCACGTATTTCATGGATTCTACAAGGTTTGTCAGAAGGAGGGCTGTGGTGCTCTCTACAATGGGTGGTCGTATGCATGTGTTCGTGCCGCCCTGCTTACCATTGGCCAGAACGCTGTCTATGATCAGGTGGGATCTTGTGTTGAAAAAACGAATTCTCACTAATCAATTTTGTTTGTGCAGGCAAAAAATTATTATATGAAGACATTTAACTTTAAACACCACAGCAAAACAGTACATTTGCTTAGTTCCATAACCGCTGCATTGGCCTGCATACCTATTGTGCAGCCAATAGAGGTCCTTAAGACCCTGAACATGCAAGTAAAGGCAGGCTACTTTAAGTCAGTGGGTGAAGAAGTCAAATATATGATGCGGTTCGGTATACGTGGCTTGTTCCGTGGCATTGTTCCGGGCCTCTTACGAATGTTACCAAATACCGTCGTTATTTTCCTTATCTATGAGCAGTTGCGTTTGACTTTTGGCTATACACTGAACGAAAAGAAATGTAGTTTTGAATAAAAAAAAGAAGCATGATAGAAATACTCGTTGGCTCGAACTTCCTTACAGAAATGTTTCGAAAAGAGCTTTCGATTTTATTGTATGATTGCCTGAATGTATGGCCAGAATTAATTATGAATTTTATGATCTTTAGATATTAATGTTAAGTATGTATTACATCTTAATCTAATAGGGCTACTAGCACGATCTTACATAGCAAAATATAAAAGTTAGGAAACTACTCGACTAAGTATTCATTTATGTTTTACAATTGTACCATTAAATATATACTATATGAGCGAGTGTTTTGGAATGGTCTTTACTTTCTGTTTAAGATTAAGAAATGTTGAGGACATAAGCTGAAAGTTGCGTCCAAAATTAAACCAGCAAGTAGAACAAATCCAATTAATGTGGTATATAGTATATCAACATACATCTTTAAGGGGATCCCTTTCGTCCACAGCCTGTTCAAAAGTATATATGGTATGTCTTGGCTCTATCGTGACATATGCGCCCAATACCCTGCTAAGCGGGTCAACTATGCGTATGCATAGCGTTTAATAATGCAAATCAATGTGGGCGCTGTACTGCTTATCTGCCTGCATAAATACAAACTAAATTACATACATATTTGAATGGCAAACAAAGTGCAACCGCAGGGCCTCAGACCAACTAATGACCTGCCACTCAACCGAACATCAAAACATTCAACCAGCCACAAGTCAGTCATAAAGTTAGCTCTAAGCACTTATGCAAATAGCGGGCATGAGGAGGCGCTCAAGTTTATTTGTGTGTGTGTGTTTATTGTGTTAGCTACGCAATAACGCATTTGGAAATTTGTCATGCTAGCAATAACAACAACAGTAACAGTAAGAGCAACAGCAACAGCAACGGTGACACGAACAAGAGAGGCATCGGTACACATCTACAACGAGTATGCTCTAATTTAGTTTCATTGCGACGCATCATTCTTATTTTTCCACCAGACTAAAATTGCCTACTTACAAATTCAATTTCCACAATGATTGCAATCACTATTGCAACCAAAGCGCGTGCACACACATACTTATATACAGGCTGTCCACAAGGAAGGGGGAGCTAAAGCGAGGCACCATCAGTGTTGCCAATTTTTAAAGCTAAGCAAATGGTTACACTTCCAGGCCAATCATCCTGTTGTGAAAACAGTGTGTACCAATAAGTTTAAGCTTTTCTTTTCTATATAACTATTTACCGAATTATTGATAACACTAAATATAACTATAAATGTAAGCATTATAATAGGATGTATTCCATTAGCTCCATGGTGCTTAAATAAACAATGGCAATACAATAAAAAATAAGTAAACGTATGTATATGAATTTATTTTATACTGTTACACAAGAGTGTCGTCAGGGGGGGCAGGGGGGCCGTTGCCCCACAATGTGCTGAACACGCTGATTATCTTTTTAACCTAAACAAGTTTTTAGGAATGATTCATATTAATTATTTTTCAATGACTGCAGTAGTCAAATAGAAATGTAAATGTTTGGACTTAGTTTTTTTTTAATATTTCATTTTTTGATATGGGACAACTCTTACAGAATTTTAAAACTGCAAGTAAGTTTGAAATCATTCTTTATGCGATAATGGTAGCGCCTAGATTCGAACCGAGTTTTGTACTCGGAAACAAACTCATATTGTGGGATTCCTGTTAGCTCGTTAAGCTAACCATGATTTTCTCTAACTGCCGGAATTCTATGAATTTCGAACTCAAATTTTGCAACCCCAGTTAGTGATTATGTGCCCGTATTCATTATGACAAGCCGATTTAACAGGAAACTATAGCTATAAATATAATTGCTGCCCGCAGCTGTCGTTGATGTTGGTGCTTTGGTTGGCATCGCCAGGCTCCAGTTCTTATTAATTCAGTATTACTTACAATTCAACAACATTTTCTACAATCGGCCTCAGACCTGGTGGAATAATAGCTAACTAGACAACACTGGGCGGCATGGCATATGGTTGGCAGTTTATAAAGCATGTGCGCTCACTCGCTTACTCTCTCAACAAGTTGAGGATGGAAACAAGAATAACAACAACAACAACATGTTGGTTGTAGAGGCACAACAATGGCGTATATACGTGCGACATTTACCGTTGCTTACGTGACGCCAAGCAAATGACGCGCACAGTCGGCGGCGTTTCTATTGGATTTTGGTTCCAACATATTGCATTGCACTTGCGCCTAGAGGCGACATTCATGGAGTGCTCGACACCCCCTTCCCCCCATTCCATAAAAGGCGCATTGACACTTGGCACAAACTAAACTGGAAACGATCGCCCGTTCAGTTGCTTGCCAGACGCGGCTCTAGTTGGTAAAATTAATTTTCATTAGTCACGTTTTGGCCGTAATCAATTTATAATGTACCACGACGACGGCTGTACTTGATGTTGGCTGTGCGAACGGCTAGAAATTGGTTAATATTGCACATGTATAGTATAAATATACAGTAGTTGGTTTAATTTACTCGTTTTGTGACCCTCCTTCTCTCTTTTTTGGCACCCTTTCTTTCGCCGTCTTTCTCTTATATTTGCTCCTACCATTTATATTGTTTTTCTACTTTTCTACTCGTCAGCTCTTCTACTTCATTTGCTCCATGTGGTTTATTTTTAAATTTATATTCGCTGTCTTAGTAAAAATGCTTAGAAACTTTAAGAATAGCCATTTCAATTAAACGCCGCATTCGTTGACTTCACTTTAAAGTTCTGCTCCAGGTTTTTGGTTTATTAAATATGTTCCCAGTCCTTCTTAGGGGTCTATATATCCCAAATTTATGCGTAATTGCTCGTAGATTAAAAACAACAGGATTGTGGCTGGTCCTTTTCGTGCTAAATTTGGAAGAAGTCCCCGAAATATTCCTAATGGTCCGAAGCGCATCATGTGAACAAAGATATGATTTGGAGTTTTAAATTCTCCTGGTCGAGCATTCATCATCAATGTCTTAAGCACATCGAATGGTTGAGAAATGACCGATGATATAATCGAAGATAAGAACGAGCTTTGGAAATGAAGCCTAAAATCGTCTTCTTTCTTGAAATAAAACACCAGCATCGTCTTGATCTGGGTAAACAGATTGATACCGGAGACTTTTCCATTCTCAATAAATCTACTCACTTGATCATAGACTGCTATTTGCCCAATTGTGCCGACTGCTGATTTTAGAAAGGCAGCCGAGGCCCCAGTGTACAATGAGAAAAAGCCCTCCTCCTTTGGTATGCGCACGAGTGCGTCAAAAACGTGCTTATAGCTGCCAAATTAACAAAATTAATTCTTAAGTGGCAAAAAAACACGGCATTGTTCCGTGAATTACTTGCGCCTTTCTCTGTTGCTGAATTTCATATCGTTTTGCATGCGAACGTTTATCACGTCTGGGGGTATACCAATTGCGGCGCCCATAACGCCAGCAAAACTTGCTAGGGCGATCTTCTGTAAGAAGTTCTCATTAAGAATCTCGTGATATTTGCCCGCCTCATAAATGCTGAAACGTATGCTGGTGCAGGTCATCTGACGAAAGGCAGCTGCCGAGAAACCATCGTAGAAGCCAAGATAACCTGCGAATAAAGCTTAGTTACTCTGAAGGTAACAGCAGAGTTTGAAGCTCCTACTGACCTCTGAGGCGTATCACCTTGAGAGCCGTAAATAGAATGGACTTTTTCTTTCTTTGTGTTTGCATGTGACTCTTAACGAGATCGAGGGGCGCCACAACGCAGGCAACGATCGTCGCGGCCAAGCCTCCAAACCACCAGCGTGGACGTCGCTCTCGCATTCCTTCAACTTGACGAGCTGTAAAATCATCGCCACGTAGGTCAAATAGATACAACCTGTCTATTAATGGCATTTCACCAAAAACGAAAATTGTCCGTATAACTAAGACACTCAATTGTTGTCATATCGTTGCCAAACAGAAAGGAGACCTAGTTTTATTTTGTATTGAAATTTTACACGATGATAGAATTTTAAAAAACTTAGTAAATGTAGAAAGGTGACAAAAATTAGAATTAAATCCAAGGAAGTCGATCAAAACTGCCCTAGTATTATAAAGGGACAAACTAAAGATTCTTTTCATATTCATCAACAGAAATTGTTATTCTTCTCGATCTTATTTCGAAGCTTTTCAAATATACAAATAGTTCGCGAATATGTTTAGGCACAATCAAGAAATGCCAAGTTTTTTGAAATGTAACGAAGTACTTCTACTTGTGATGGCTGAAGATTCTGATTTCTTTGTGAACTTTACGTAAATTTTGTGTCGTTACCATGTTCATGAAAATCAAGAACCTTTTTTTAGGCGATTATGCAGCTCTTCGGTTTTTAATTAGATTTCCCCTTCTTTTGATACAGTAATGAAATTTCTTTAGATTTTCGCTGCTAATACTCTTTATACCCAATAAAACAACTTGGCCAATAGTCCGATTTGTCGTGGCATTATGAGTTGTAGATGACTTTGTGTCCAGGTGCATAATGTGAGACCTGCATCGGCCTTTCGGTTGGATACCATGCACGACATGTAGTCAAAAGTTTTGCACCCACGCTGTAAATCGTGCACCTAGTGGGTCTAGGACCTCCCTCCACCTGCAATTCGTGTTCTACGTGCTGCGGACATGCACGAAACTGTGCGCGAACAGATGACATAATAAACGAGGTTACCAACGCCACCCCACGCACTGCAACAACTTGTGCCCACTTTGTGTGCTGCGTTCTTCTTTCTGCGCGCTGGCTAATGTCGGACATTTGTCGTGGCAGCCAAACCAAAGCTGCCGCGACACAGCCCCGCTTACTTTCTCAGGTATTTTGCATACTCGACACGCTTCGCTGGGCCGGCAGCACACACATTGACAAGTTTTTGTCACGTTTTGGGCGCTGAAATTTGAAACTTTTTTTTCTCGCACGCTCTTATCAAAAGTGCTCTACTGTCAAAGTAAATGAGCATCTTATGGCAACTAGCGGGAGTGGGGGGTCACCTGAACTAACGCCTACTTGAGAAAGTTGAACATCGCCCCGTCCTGCAAATGCAACAGCAACCCCCGCCCGTACCTTGCAACAACTTTTCAAATTAAATTTTACACTGTGCTCTGACAGTTGCGAGCATAAAAACAGTTGCTCTAACTGTTCGCAACTTGACACTCGCTTATCATTTCCGTTTCCGGCAGCCAACACTGTCGACACGAGTGTCTGCGTGTGTGAGAGAGAGTGTGTTTGGGTGTGTGTCTGCAAAAAGAGTCAACCGCATGGCATTGTTAACGCTGGACAACGACAAGTTACTCGCAATGTAATGAGAGAGGCGAAACGTTTTAATTGTCAACGCCCGACACTTAAAGTGCCGTGACCGTTGATGTGCAACATATCTTGTTGTTCTCTCTCTCGCGCTCTTGCTCTCTCTCTCTCGCTCTCGTTTGCTTGTAATTGACGTCACTTTTTTGCATGCATGCAAATTTCACTTGATTATGCCCACTCGAGTGTCCATTTCCACTTAATTGCGATTCATTTGAAATTGGCACTTACAAGTGGCCTGGCAAACGCATTACTGTTGCCTACTTCAAGGCGCTGGTTGTTACGAACAGCTCTGGTAATTGCCGAAATGGATCAAACAGAAAAGTGTGCAAATTTCGAGTAGCTGGCAATGCAATTAATTTCAACATATGTATGTATACTTGATTAAGTGTTAATAGCACTTCAGTTCAATGAATTATATGGACCACTAGCGAACTTATTCTCTTTGATCTGCCACTCTTGCTGTGCTTGGATTCCTCAAGTGGACATTTAATTGTAAATGTTACTGTCTTCATAATAACATCCTACTAAACTACTAAACTATATTTTCATAGATAGAGGAACGCAGGATATCTGCCAGGCGATTATGGAATGCCATTCTAAGCTATACACCTATTTTTCTTTCAGATAAAAGCATACTGATCAAGAATATACAAGTATGTATGAATTTTTATTTTGTGGGGCTGCCACGTCTCCTTCGATGTGTGACATAAATTTGCACTAAGCTAGTATACCCTTTTACTAGGGTACAGAGTATAAAAACCTGGATATAAACTTGTGTCAAGATTTTCGTTTTCTAGTACTTATGGCTTTATAATGGCCGAGATGAATTTTCCTCCAGGTAGCGGATGTGGTTTTGGCTGTACGTCGATCAGCAAACAGAATTCCACATTAAATGGAATTACATATTTTACAAACTTCATTTCTGCTTTTCCTAGAGTTCATAGTTTTTCTTCATTTCTTATGTGTTCTTATTAAATCAATAAAATGGCTTAAACCACTGTTTTCTCATATATTGCTGTAGTATTGAAACATATAAACAAGCTCAGAAAAACGTGGCGTTGCCTAATCGCAAACGTAAAACACATTCAATTTAAAGAAAATTTTCCTCTCCAATTTTCCTCTAGGCAAATATCAGGCCCACTATGACAAATAGCGTGGAAATAACTTATTATAATGCATTATTTATGAATTTCTAGCACAAGTTGGTACAAATTACCAGCAATGCTTGAACAGTTCTTTATTTAATGAGTGCCCTTAGACTGGGCTTCAAAAAATTAATCAGCGGATAGCTGTTATTGAAAACGCAGGCAAAATCTTTGCAAACTTTTCGCACCCGCACTTGTCACTCATTAAACTTTTAACTCACAGTTGAGCTGGCAGCTTGTTTTACACTTTAATTAAGTGGAAGCTTTTTCTGTGTTTTTATTCGTTTTGATATTTCTTGCTGCTGGGACTGTATGGTTTTATTATTTATTAACGAGCTCAGTTACAAAATGTAATTTACCACCGGCATGACTGGGAAATCAAACGCCATGGGGGATCTAAACAGCTTTCTACAGCAATAACCACGCGCGTGTAAGCTTGGTAAATGTTGCCTGAGAACATTTAATTTTCAGTCCTTAACACTTGACTGTCGATAAGTAGCTGGGAATGTTTGCTATAATATGTCCAATGCAGCAGGCGCTCGATTAAGCTAGAGAATGTAACTAATTGGTAACTTTTGCTCCGACGCCCGATTGCATTAGGTTTCATAATTGCTTATTACACGAAAGGACGCGCAACAAACGTCGAGCCAGCTCGGGCTTCATGACGCATTTAAACGTGGTTTGCAACACGCTGGACGTCATTGTCAATTTCCGACTAAGTGGCGTGCAAGGGCCATGGCCTGGAAAGCAATTGCCAGCAGCTAGCTGCAGTAGCAGTAGCAGTGGCAGTGGCAGTAACAGTTACTGTAACAGTACCAGTCAGCATCGGACAATAGGGCAGAGGGTAGGAGGCAGTCGCGCTTTGATTGCATTAAACGGGAGGCAACAAATATTGCGCATACGCTACGCTGCACAATACAAAATACGCAACAAAAAAATAGTTAATGAATTAAGTATTTACACACAGCTCGTGCTCGCTAGAACACACACACAGAGACAGAGACAGAGACACAGACACAGAGATGCACGCACAGAGCGCAAATGGCAGTCATTGCCTTTTACACTTTTCCTCACTTTTTTGCAGCAACAACAATTGAGGTTAAGTGATTGTTGAGCATGTAAGTGGCGCTCGTTAGCCACTGACAAGACGTGTTCATCAGCATGTGGCCGGTGACAAGGGAGCTCCGACAACGAGTCAGTCAGTCAGCCAGTCAGCTATCGGGCCAAGCGACAGAGAGCCAAGTAAAGTCAAGTCTGTTGGCATTAAGCATACATCAGGCGACAGCAAATAAACGAGCGACAGTTAAGATGTGGTTGGCAAGAATTAAAGCGCACATTCCTTCATTTGATGCTGTAGTCAGAACGTATTGCTCCTGTCTGATCATACACATACATATATGCGCTTTGTCAATTAATCAGTAGCAGCTGAGTCGAAATAATTGCATAATAAACGAGCTTGCGTGCTTTCCAAGTACTCTTTATAGTGGAATTTACGACAAGGTGTGTTGCACTTAAATATTTATGTCCTGAGATGCGGTTATACTCATAGGTCGAAAAAAAATACACATCGATGGGTGCGCTTCAATTCGACACTATTCAGAAGACATTTTTGGCTTTGTGTTGAAAAATGAATTAATAAGTGAGTTATTTCTACGGATATTTACTCATCGATGTAAAATGAAAAAAGTTCCAATGGTGTCAAGAGTTCAAAGATCAGATGAACAAAAGAGTTTAAAGGATGGTCCACAATGTCAATAGCATCTATCAGCAGCTTTAATTCTTCACAAAGTATAGTACATAGATTGGGCTTACAAGACCTATTTTTAATAAATTGATGAACTTTTGTGCTAAATATCCTATCCTATAACCTATCTGTCTGTTTTTGCATAGCCAAACAAAATCTCTGGTGCAATTCTTATAGGCAAATCAAACCTTTTCTTCATATCGCACTCAGAAAGTTCAGGCGTAGACAGATATTAAGTGTATATCTGTATGTATGTTCCAATTTATTTGACTGAACCGCTTGCTGTCTGCAGTTAGTTATTACCAGGACCTTTCGCTTTAAAGAGCTTCATCAGTCACGGTATATAAATGCGTTTTTCATTGTTGCAGTTAATTCATCATATGAATTACTCAAACCATCTTGCAAACTGTCAATCTCATCACGCACACACAAACCCAATTGTACACACACTTGTCCATGTATAACCATGCACATTTAGCAGCAGTTTTCTACCGTTCAGAGCTCATGTCTTGTGTCCTGGCATGTTAGCTACCTCCACAGCGGGAGTGCGCGTTGTGTGCCATGTGTCTTTTTGTTTCCCTTTTTGTTGTACATTTTCAACTGTAATCACATCATTTTACATCATATTTCATACTTCATCTTGTAGT